GATTGAAGATAGAAGACAAAATGCACAAACTGTACATGTGTATACCTTTCTGTTTGTTTTTGTGCGAGTACAGAAGAACAATGTCCTCCTCCGTCGATGATGTCGGGTGAAGCCCAAAGCGCCACGAGGCCACCGGCCGCCGCTCAGGAGGAAAAAAAGGAAGCAGCAGCTGCCACGCTCCCGGCCTCAAGCGCAAGCAGAATACCGGCCGCCGCTCAGGAGGAAAAAAAGGAAGCAGCGGCTGCCACGCTCCCGGCCTCAATCGCAAGCAGAACGGAGCCCCGTCTTTTCGCCAAACCCCCCGCAAATGTAACGTCGCGGGAGGACGACGACGACGAAGAAGAAGAAGACTCAGACGACGCAAGTGAGCACTGTAACGTCGCGGGAGGACGACGACGACGAAGAAGACTCAGACGATGCAAGTGAGCAAGTTTTCTCGCTTCAGTTTTATGTTCCTGGAGGAGCTCATACTACAAATTCCTTGTGTGGTTTTACATACTTGGTCAATAAATATGATTCTGTTTCTGATTCAGATTTTGGTCTCATATGATTTATTTTATTCTTTTTTTTTATATTGTGAAAGCCACGCTGGGATGTTTAGAATTCAGTCTGCTCTATGAGCAAGAGCGCCACCAACTGCAGTGTTGCGTCATCAAGGCCAAGGTACACGCTGCAGCAACCTTTACTTTCTTTAAAAAAAACAAAAAACACTTTACTTTCTTTTCATTTTATTCTAATGTGCGGCCATATTTTTTTCATTCAATTCATTCAAAGCGCTCCATTTTTATTTCTTCAATTCAAAGATGATTTCATTTAAATTGTGCGTACTTCATTCAGCCAAAAATTTTATTCGTGTGTGGGTTTTTTTTTTCCTTGTGTCAGGGCTTAAAGCCGATGGATTCCAATGGCCTATCGGACCCTTACGTCAAATTACACCTGCTTCCGGGTGCTAGTAAGGTACTCGCCAGTCTATCGCCATAACAACCACGGGATGCTTATTGCTAGGTGGTTTAGCGTATGTAATTTAGTATCTGTAGCTTGTGAGAAAACAAAAGAACTCTAAGAACTGACACACCCCGTGACTTAAGCTGTTATTTTTCAGACAGGCTAGCTTCTTCTTTTTTTTTTTTTTTATTGACTCCATTCAGAATTTCTGTACATTATCTTACAAGGAACCATCTTGACAAATTTTGAGGGAACTGTTTTGGACCACCGATCATCGTGGCAGGGGCAGTGCCCCATCACAGCCACCAGATTGTACTATTGATTACAGAGTAGTGGTTCAGTTTTTGTCTGTCTCATGTGGTGCAGTCCAACAAGCTTCGCACGAAGACACTGAAGAACACTCTGAATCCGACTTGGAACGAGACTCTGGTCTACCATGGCATCACCGATGACGAAATGTCCCGAAAAACCTTACGGTACGGCTTCACTTTCTACAGCCACAATTGTGTTGATTTATTTATTTATTTATTTATTTTTTACATTGGGCTATGTGTCGAAAAAAAATGAAGTCAATTTAATTCCTTTGTCACGGAACAAATTGAATTTAGGAACGGTCTGGTTGTAGATTAAGATTAAGATTAAGATAATAAACCTTTATTAGTCTCGCAATGGAGAAATTCACAATGCAGTGACATTTAACATGAATTGCGTCTTCTTCGTCCGTCAGGCTATCGGTCAGCGACGAGGACAAGTTCGGACACAACGAGTTCATTGGGGAGACGCGAGTGGCGCTCAAGAAACTCAAGTTCAACCAGAAGAAAAAATTTAACGTGTGCTTGGAGAGAGTCGTTCCGGTAAGACTGCGTCACGGACCAGAAATACCTTAAAAAGATTAACTCTTAAAACGACCAACGGCTGTAGTGAGGGCTGGGAAACTCAACCTTGCTACTTGTTGCTTTATGTTTTAACTCAAAGTAATAACAGGAAATAAATTGATTGGAAACAGAGACTTTGTGGTTCAGATGTGCAACTTTGATGTTATCTGCAATTGTCTATGTTTTACAATATATCATTCTGGGGCACAGCTTAATCTGCCCCATGCAAACATACATGCTCATCCCTTCAGGCTCTGCTACGGGGAATCTTCACTTTTATAAAACTTCTTCTGTCTTTTGTCCTGCAGCCAAATGTGGAGGAGACTCTGCATTCGAAGGCGCAGTTCCGCATCATAACCACCAGATGGTAGTGTTTCTCACTTATCTCACATCTCACATCTTGACGTTTTTTTCTCCAGGTGAAAAAAGTTGTTGGAGGTCAATCTCGAGGAATGGCGCTCTATGAGGATGACGTAAGTGTGTGTGTGTGTGTGTGTGTGTGTGTGTGTGTGTGTGTGTGTGTGTGTGTGTGTAGCCGAAAGTGTTTTAACCCTGCTCGCAATACAAAGTAGGGTATGTACAGTGTGTTTGTGTTTGTGGTTAGGTAGACGAGGGCGAGGACTGTGAGGAACGAGGTCGCATCCTGCTGTCTCTGAGGTACGACAGCAAGCAGGGTCGTCTGATTGTGGGCGTTGTCCGATGTGCCCACCTCGCCTCCATGGACGCCAATGGATACTCGGACCCCTTTGTCAAAGTGTATGTCAAACACACATGGCTGATACTGTCGTCGTACTCGTTTAACACATACAAATCCAACTGACAACTTCCTATACTACTTAATTCATCCTCAGGTGTCTGAAGCCTGACATGGGAAAGAAAGGCAAGAACAAGACACAGATTAAGAAGAAAACGCTCAATCCAGAGTTCCAGGAGGTCAGTCACGTCTTTATGAGTGAATGAATGTATGAATTCATGAGTGACTGAATTCTTGTTTCCAGGAGTTCAGTTATGAGATCAAGCACGGTGAGCTGGCTAAGAAAACTCTGGACATTTCTGTGTGGGATTACGACATGGGCAAATCCAACGATTTCATCGGTGAGCTTGTGCGTTAGCATGTTTAGCCAACATGCTATGCCTAGCTAACTGTCACGCGTGTCTGTGAGCAGGCGGCTGCCAGCTGGGCATCCAGGCTCAAGGCGAGTGTCTGAAGCACTGGTACGAATGTCTGAAGAACAAAGACAAGAAGATTGAACGCTGGCATCTTCTCCTCAACGACAACAGCAGCGGACGCTTTGACGACTGAAAATGACACTCAGCTCAACCCTGGTCCACTCTACGCTCTCGTCTTCCCGTCGCCGTTTTATGTTTGCCTCCACCAGGGAATGGCCTCGGCCTCACATGACCGGTTCCATCAGGTGTTCAGTGGTCTTGATGCATGTTGTCTTGTGAGGAATAAACAATCATGCACCTGAAGATGTTTGCCTGTGTGCTCATGACACCAAACACTCAACCAGTCGGATCGAGCCGTCACCCACCTTGATAACAGACGTCTGTCATCGACAAATTACAGGTGAACTACACCACCCAATGTAATCAGTAGCGCCCACTGGACATCACCAGTTTCAGTGATTTACATGAAATTGAGTGGACATGACTCATCACAGGACAGATGAAAAAGTCCCAAGAACCCATGCCCAAATTGAACAAGAGGTGAACCATTTTCATTTGAAGCAGCCTTTTTTGGTCAAGTTTACTCAGTCATGCCCTTGACACCTGTTCCATCCACTGCTGCCAAAATAGGAAGAAGAAAATTAAACTGGATGTCAGCCATTTTGGTTTGAAGTCTTAATTTAGCAAATTCGCTAAATTATTTGCAAATGAGTGACTTGCTGTGGTAATTATTCATTGACTGACTGAGATAGCAAGGGAGTGAGTGACTGAGGTTTTTCTGTGAGTGAATTAATTTGTGTACTTCATAATTTAATACAATAACAAATATACAGTCATAATATAGAGTGTCTGATGATGTTTATAATATTTCCAAGGAGCCATAAATTGCGCGTGATTGGTCGAAAAACTTCTAAACTTCTTCGGAGTGACGTCACCACCTGCTGGACATAGGTAGAATGCAAAGACTGCGTCCACTTCTCCACGCACTTAAATGACGTCATCGCAAGAAAGTCTCTCACACACACAGGGACAAACACACACGAAGGGAAGGAGGAGGTGAACTCCTGCAAACATGGCGTGCTGGTTTCGTTTGGACTTTACTCGGGGCGGATTCGAACCTCGACCACGACCTCGGGCGGCTGTTATCGGTCTCGGGGGCTCCGCGTGAGGGCGGGTTGATGGAAACTTGCCTCATTTACCGGGAGAACAAGGTAGGAACGTGCACGCGCGACTTCTTCTAAAGTCAAAATGTTTTGATTGGTTCAAAAAGTAATCGAGACAACGTGCGCAAATTCGAGATGATTTCATTTGCTGTATTTTATTCAAACTGAGATTTTCTGGGGGTTTTTTCTATCTTTTGTTTCACGTTGTGATTTTTTTCCTGTCCTGCCTGTGTATGTACAGTACAGTATACCCAAGCTGGATTTGTGACGTCACAATCCAGTAAACTATTTGTTGTTGTTGTAGAAATTTTAAAGCTGCACGTGACTCACCACATTTGCATAGCAAATAAGAAAGAGTGACAAAAAATGTTAAATCGGCTTAGATGAGGTTAAAATCGGTGTCTTACCAGATCACTTCCAAACAATCCGCACTTACAAAGAGCAAGTTTTTCGCTGCAGATGTTTTTTTTTTTTTCTTTTGTGTAATTTAAATTTTTAAATCACTTCCCAATTATTTATTTATTTATTGTATTGACCAAATTATGTTTTCTTTATATTTAATGAATGGTAACATCTGGTTATGTGTAATTGTTATTGGCATATGATCATATTTGTTATTTTTCATTGTTAATATTATTTTTAACTTTTTTTGGGGTCTTTATTTATTTATTTATTCATTCGCTAATTAATTAATTAATTTCAGGTATCTTTTTTTTATCCTCAAGGACAGAAAATCATGAACATGAATTACAAAGTGCATTCTAAAACGACATTGAAGAAATTTCATCTGTGCTGCATATAATACAGCACATTTGACAATAAAGTTGTACTGTATTCAATTCAATTCAATTATACTCTGAAACAGTTCACATTAAAATACACAAAAGCACCAATAATTTAAATATACATTAACAGGCCCAAACAAGTCAGGCCTACATTTCAGTCCAAATTGTATTTTGATGCCTGCAACTGAAATAAAATAAAAAAAAGACTGGCAAACGATTTGAAGGAAAGCAGCATAGGCCTGTCAAGTATCACAGTATAAGCAAATGCAGCATAACTTTCACGTGCATGTGCATTTCAAGTAGAAAATGATTTGTTTTACTTTTGAGTAATGACTCAGTGGCGGAATTTGTGATAAAGTTGTTAAAAAATTGAGACAGTATATCAGCATATTCAATAAATTTGTAATAATATAGTTCATTCATTTTTCAAATGTGAACATTCGTAGTAGAATGTCCTCCAGTTCACTTGGGTGATGCGCTGAGTTCTTGACAGTCTTGCTCACAAGAATCTTAAAACATGACATGTTGTTCCTCCTCAGTTGTCTTTGCTGGGCTCTTGCTCCTCCTTGCGGCCACCAGCCTTCCCTCTTCATCATCATCATCGTCATCATCATCATCATCATCATCCTCAGTCAGCATGAACAAACGGGCGGGACTACCACATGACTATGGTCTGAGCAAAGCCGACATGTTGGATGCCGTCCTTGGCTGTGAGCAGGCCTGCCAGCGGGGGGACTTTGCCCTGGCTGTGGGTCTTTGCACGGAGGCACTGGCCACGGACCCCCTAAACTGCGTGGTGTACAGCACCCGCTCGGCGGCCCACCTCAGCTTGGGCCGCTACCATCAGGCCCTACACGATGCCAACAAGGCCCGAGACATCAACCCCAAGTGGACACAGGTACAAACTCCCAACTCCTGACCGCCGCTGTGATGTCAATCGGACACCATGGGAGCCATTTAACCCAAATCCTCTGTGAAATTTACAAAATTGAAGCGCATTGAGGTATTTCATTCGGACACAAGTAGCACTTTGCTGTCATATTGTGCCATCTTGGTACCATAGAATTTTGTTGAAGTGAATTGAGAAGTTTATTTCGACAAAAGCAGTGCTTTACAAACCTGGTTGTGGCAACTGGTTGCCATGGAACTTTGTGAAAGTGATTTGAGGAACTTGGACAGATGTAGAACTTTGTCACCATCTTGGTGCCAAGGAGCAATGTCGAAGTGAGTTTGGGAGTTTCACTTCAACAAAAGTAGAACTTTACCACAGCACATGTTAAAGTGAGTTGAAGAGTTTCATTTAGACAAAAGTAGTGCTTTGCCATCATCTTCAACCTTAGGAATCCTTACGCAAAACCTTTTTGGTGGGATGCCACTTACGTGGCAATAAAACACGACTGTATTTGATATAGCATTAGCATTAGCACAGACAAAGTCGTAAACAGCACACAACTGACCCAAGCTAGCTGCCGCTCCGTCATTTGTTGTTATGCTAATTAGCCTCTGGAGCAAGGTGTCAATCGCTAGGTAGCCACAAAATATCAATATTATGGTGCAAAATATAATATTGCGATACATGGCACCATCTTGTACTGCCGTACAATATCATAGCTCAATTCAAGATGGCGGATTAAAAGCCTCATTGAGCAACAGTTCCCACAAATGAAACTCTGCTTCAATATTTCTTGCAAAATTGTTCACTATTAAGGATTATTTCCTTCATATTTAGCGTCTTTAGGATGTTGCCAGTTGTCACTCACATGTCAAGTATTCATGCTAAAATCACCAGATATTGATATCCGTACGCTGTCCAATCACGCTTTTCATGTTATTGTGCTGGTGAATATATCACAATAATGAAATCAAATAACAAGCAAAGTGCGGAACACACAAAAGTCACATCACAGGGTGTACAAAATGGCGTGAGTGTGTGCGTTTGTGTTTGCGAGAAACTTGACTTCCTTCCTCTGTGACAGAGAATGGACGGAAGTGTATGTTTTTTTTTTCTTCTGCTCTGGCGCTTGGCCTTGGTTCTTAAAGACAATAACAGAAGCTGCGTGTTCCCTTGTGTGTGTGTGTGTGCGCATGTGTAAGTGTATGTGCATGAAGCCCAGCCTTTTGATTTGCCGAAGTGGAGGTCAGACAGAAGAAGAATAAATCAACAAAAAGTTTCTTTCCCCTTCACTTCTTCCCACCGACTTTGCTTACACTCACACACATATTCATACACAGCTCGTCATGGGAACAGAGTGGTGTGGCCTGCCCCGACTCCTAGCCTGCCCTGTCATTATCTCTGGACTGGCACCACAATGGCAGCCCGATGTAGGACGTCGGCTGGCATGAGATTAGAAAGTTTGCCTGGGTCTCCGTCAGGCCTGTCCAGGCAGCTCGACCTCAGTCTGGCTCACAAGGATCATCTTGGACTCATGCGAGGGGAACACCACACAAACAATTTCAAATACCACTCAAGCTTATTCATCCATTTATTTTCTTAAGAAACTGGGTGAGATGGAGCCTATCCCAGCTGACTTTGAGTGAGAGAAGTGGGGTCCACCCTGGACTGGTCACCAAGCTAAGACAGTCTTTTGATCTCTTTACACTTTAATTTGATGATTTCCTGCAGATCATGACGCCCCCTTGTGACAGCATCATCCAGTCAGCCAATCAGAGCTCACTTGTGGCTGGTTGGATAGCGTCACATGACATTGACTTGACCTCTGGTGCCCCCTGGTGTGACAGTTCTGTAACATGACCCCGAACCTTGTGTGTGTGTGTGTGTGTGTGTGTGTGTGTGTGTGTGTGTGTGTGTGTGTGTGTGTAAGAGAGAGGATGGGGGGAGGGGTCAGAGTATCCACGCAGCCTATCAGGTTTCAGAGTCGGTTTTGATCAAGCACTCGCAGACTTTGAGTGACCAAGCAGGTGATGCGGTGGAGAGATGAACATGTGACGCTAAGTTTGTTATTGTGACGTTTGTTGGGCGAACATGATGAAGTGGCAGCCCCGCAGGAAGGTGAGTGAGTTGATCTCTGACGAAAAACTATTGTCATTGCACAGACTTTCCTAAAAAGAAAACATTTAACAGGAACACGAGGAACTCCTCTAGCCTACACACAATATTCCAACTTATATTACAAGAATCATTTAGCAGATTTATTTGCGTCATTGTCATGGTGCTGCAATTTTGTTCTGTACTGCCCTCTGCTGTTCACTGAAATTGACATCAAATTGGCCTTGGGCTCGCATTGAAGAAGTCACGTGACCAAACCCGGAAGACGGGATTTTGGCATCTAGTCATAATTAGCGTCGAGTCTTAGTCGGAATCAGAATGAAATTAGCGTCAGGTTGGTGTCAGGGCATAGTCTACATCGAGTCACAGTCGCTGTTCATGTCACATCGCAGTCAGTGTCATAGTGGTATCATAGTCGCCATCGGGTGGTAGTTAGTGTGACGCGGACCTCAGATCGTAATCGGCATCAGATCGTAGTTGTCGTCAGGTAATAGGCGACATCACATAATAGTCAGTATCAGGTCACAGTCAGTGTAATAGCTGGTGTCAGGTGGCACACCAGCTGTTGTGTGATGTCATTACTCACCATCTTGGCTTCATTGCTATCCGACCAGAATTTGACATGTACGTACATGCTCGTTTTATTTTAATCATTTGCAGGCTTACTTCCGCCAGGCAGTGGCGCTGCAGCATCTCGGACGCCACGAAGACGCCCTGGCGGCCTTCGCCTCGGGCGTGGCGCAGGACCCGAAGAGTCTGCAGCTTATGTCGGGCATGGTGGAAGCTGCCATGAAGTCGCCACTCAGAGGTAAGTTCATCCCCGATTTGACCACTCAACAACCCGAATTGACCGCGACTTTGTTAATGCTTCCCCCACCTCCAGATTCTCTGGAGCCTACCTATCGCCAGCTGCGGGCCATGAAGCTGGAGCGCAGCCCCTTTATGGTGGTATCGCTGGTCGGACAGGAGTTGCTGGCACACGGCTTCTATGCCGCCGCTGCGGAGGCGTTAGAAGCGGCACTGCAGATTGGCACATGCTCACTGAAGATGCGTGGCTCCATCTTCTCGGCACTCAGTGCGGCATACTGGTCGTTGGGCTACGCGGAGAAGAGCTTGGACTACATGAAGCAGGACCTGGATGTGGCCCGGACCTTAGGTGAATGTCAAAGCTTAATACAGTCAAACCACGTCAGCATCAGGCCTGTAATTAGTGTCAGGCGTGCGTTAAGTTGTAGATTGCATCAGTTCTTAGTCAACATCAGGTCATAGTCGGCATCAGGATCAAGTCATGGTCAGAGTCAGATCATTGGCAGCATCAGGTCATTTTCTGAGTCAGGTCCTAGTCAGTGTCGGTGTCTGTGTCATGACAGTGTCAGGTTGTAATCGGTGTCAGGTCCAAGACCTAGATGTGCGCGCTAAGTGTGCGTTAGCCATGACAAGATGGAGAATGTTAACTGACGCCTGCTCATTTTGTCCGCAGGTGACCAAACGGGTGAATGCCGTGCCCACGGCAACCTTGGCTCCGCCCTCTTCTCCAAAGGCAGTTACCGAGAGGCGTTGGCCAATCACAGGCAACAACTGATTCTGGCCATGAAGCTTAAGCACAAAGAGGTTTGTGAACACGCTTTAGCATTAACATGGCCGCCATGTAGTGCCATTGTGAATGTTAGCCTATTAGCATGCTGCTAATTTAGCCGCTAATTCACTTGATTTGATTGCTGCTACTTTATTCAGTATTTAGTAGATTTTTTTTTTTGGACCATTCACTTAAAAAGAAACTAATAACTCGCACGCTAATTTCAAATTGTGGCCGGTGTACCAACCGCAGGCAGCGGCCGATGCCCTCAGCGGTTTGGGTCACGTGTACACGGCCATCGGCGACTACCCCAATGCGCTAGCAAGCCACAAGCAGTGCGTCGCACTGGCCAGACAAAATGGCTGCCAGCTCTCTGAAGCCCGCCAGTTGGGCGACATGGGCGCCGTATACACCGCCATGGGGGATGTCACCAGCGCCCTGCGGTGCCACCAGCAACACTTGGACATCGCCAAGGTGCGACTCATTCCAACTTCTGTGATCTGCCACAAAAACAAATGCAAGGACTGAATTTTAGAAAGTGACACCCTACAAAGTGTACAAAGTTAACTCCACACCTCCATATCGACATGGCATAAATACAGCAATGAGATGTCCACGTATCAGAATCTCACCTATCTCTTTCGTCAGACTTTAGAGAACCAACGCGAGGAGGCTCGGGCATACAGCAACCTGGGCAGTGCCTACCACTCTCAGCGGGACTACGACAAAGCCGTGTCATACCACAGTCGAGTTCTGAAGCTGGCTCAGGAGCTTGGAGACCGTACCGTGGAGATGAGGGCCTTCGCTGGCTTAGGACATGCCGCCCGATGCATGCAGGTTGTTCTGTCAACAGTTTGAATGCTGCATTCATGTCGGTTCGAATCAGGTCATGGTAATCCGCAAAAGTTGAATTGAGGTAACCTCTTCCTGGTCATTGAAATCATATTTTATTTTCTCCCAAAAAGTCATATTGTCACACAAATAGTCTTTATTTTTGTTGTGAGGGGGGAAAAAAAAAATCTTTTTTTTTTTTTTTCCAAGACATTAAAATCAGATTACAAGTATCACAACACACTATTTTATTTATTTATTTCTGACAAAACTTGTAATCTTACAAGACTATAGTTTGTTATTAAAAAAAAAAAGGTATACGGTATACATACTACAAGAATAAAATCATAATCCTACCGGAATAATCATAATAACCATTCGAGAATAAAGTTGTATATGTGGTGCTCAGGACCTGGAGGGCGCACTGCGGTATCATCAACATCAACTGGAAATTGCAGAGGAGCTGCAGGACTCCGGGGCTAAAGGCCGAGCCTCTTCCAACCTGGGTACGTGATTCTTTGCTCAGTCTCGGGTGAGCTTTGGATGTGACGACTTCAAATGATGAAACAGAGATCACGTTCCCCACTGGTTGTTCTCTGTCACATGACTACTGCCCCAGCCAATCGGCACTCATCTTTTATTGATGCAGGTTTCAGTTTCTGCAGTCACTGTGATCCCGAAGAGACAATCAACATCACTAAAACTTACGAATTACAGTCTTACCCATTTACATTTGAACAACCAAAAATGCTTTCAAAAAGATTGCCACAAAAAGACAAGTAAATCCAATGCACAAAAACAAAACAAACAGGACAGATCACGACACCACCAGTATATGTGCTATAAAATACATGAGTATATGTGCTATAAAATACATGAAATTAAGCCATTACTCAAGCTCAGTGTTTCCTCCACCTCAGGCATCGTCCAGCAGATGCGAGGTGACTACAAGGTTGCATTGAAGCTCCACAAGGCTCACTTGACCTGCGCCCAGGAGCTGGGTGACTACGCCGCACAGGGAAGGGCCTACGGCAACATGGGCAACGCCTACCATGCCCTGGGCCTCTACGAGCAAGCTGTGGGGTTCCACCGCCAGGAACTGAACATCTCCCTGGAGGTGAAGCTCCTTGGAAAGAGTCGCTCCTCGTGGCGAGGAGCAGTAACCGACTCCATGTGTTCTAGGTGAATGACAGAGCATCCCAGGCATCCACACATGGCAATCTGGCGGTGGCCTACCAGGCACTGGGTGCACCGGACCGGGCCCTCAAACACTACTTGCACCACCTGAGCATCTCACGGGAGCTCGGTGACGTTCAAAGTGAAGCGAGAGCTTTAGGCAAGCCAGATATGAGCGTCAAAGAACGTGAAATGATACTTTCTGGTTCTACTTCCATTTTGTTCTCTATTTTCCAGCAAACCTGGGCAACTTCCACTGCTGCAGAGGTGACTACAAGCAGGCGTTACCGCACTACCAGCAATACTTGCTTCTGGCTCCCGGCCTTCATGATCTGGAGGGCGAGGGCAAAGTTTGCCACAACTTGGCTTATGCCCACTTTTGCTTGGGGCAGTACCAAGACGCTGCCAGGTGAGAACTTTGCCTACTCTGAATGTTTCTACGATGGACAGTGGGATACTTCAGAGTGGCAAAATTTGAGTAACTACCACTGACTTGAAGAGAATCAGCCATCTTCTGGAGAGTCAAATGTATTGTTGGTATCTGAAACTGAAGCCATGGCAAGAAACGTGATATGTTATCAGATATGGTTTCCTCAGTATGGCAAGTTTAGTTAGAGTCAAAAGCTGAGTGGACTGCAGTGCTCAGACCCGGAAGAACATGTGACTTCGTGGTGAATTGTCAGATAAAAATGTACATTAGATCCATACCACACTTAGCCTTCTTTCCTCTACTTCCTAGATACTACAAGCAGGATCTGGCTTTGGCCCAGGACCGACAGGATAAGTTGGCCCAGGCCAAAGCCTACTGTAACCTGGGCCTGGCCCACAAAGCCTTGGGGGAGTTTGGCAGAGCAGAAGAATGTCAGAAATATCTGCTTCAGATTGCACAAGCTTTGGACAATACACAGGTAAGCGTCCATGTTGGAGTCTTCACAAAAAAAGATTTTGAGGTGCACCTAACGGACTGTCCCTGATGTTATGTTTATAGGCAATGTTCAGGGCTTTGGGCAATCTCGGAGATGTCAGCGTTTGTCGGGAAGATCTTCAGGGAGCCGCCAGCTTCTACCAGCAGCAGTTATCTTTAGCTCATGAGCTCAGTGATCACAAGATGGAGGCAGATGCCTACTCAGCGCTAGGATCAGTATACAGGTAAGAAGTTCAGTGAAGACGTCCAGCTTCCATCCTTTTCCCTGGCTACCTTGATAATCACTTCCTACCATACTGTATAACTTCCAATTTTGTACCTTTGTCAGGTTGCTTGGCCAGCTGGACACGTCCTTGTCCTTTCACAGCCAAGAGCTTACCCTGCGCAAAGATCTGGGCAACCATCGCGGGGAGTGCCACGCTTTGGGTTGTCTGGCTGCCATCCACATGGCTCTGGGAGACTACGACACAACCCTGCAGTGCTACGAGGCTCAGCTGGACCTGACGCAACAGCTCAACGATGCCCACCTGGAATCTCAAGTCCACGGGAACATGGGCATCACCAAGATGAACATGGGTCACTTTGAGGAGGCCATTGGTTTCTTGGAGCAGCAGCTGGCCATGTTGCAACAACTGAGTTCCAAGGAGGGCATCGTGGATCGGGGGAAGGCTTACGGGAACCTAGCAGACTGTTACAACGCCTTGGGAGACTTTGAGGAGGCCATTCGGTACTATGACAAGGCCCTGCCGGTGGCTCAGAGTCTCAAACAAGTTCAGGACCAGGAGAAAGCCTACAGAGGACTTGGCAATGCTCACAGGTAATTCAAACGGCATTTTCGGGGGGAGTAGGGCTGCAAAGTGGTAGAACACTTCTCTTTTAACGATGTGTCCTTTCAATCGCAGGTCGATGGGCAATCTGCAACAAGCTGTGGTGTGCTTGGAGAAGAGGCTGGTGGTGGCTCATGAGCTTGCTGGACCAGAAGGCGGGAAGGCACAGGCGTACGGAGAGCTGGGTGCCCTGCACAGCCACCTGGGAAACTACGAGCAGGCCTTGTCTTGCCTGGAGCACCAACTCAGCATTGCTCGATCAGCCGGGGTGAGCAGTGGTCCATCTTTTTCGAATAGATGGTGACTCGATGTCCGAAAGTTCACTGTCACTATTTAGTGCCACAGTATCTGAAGCTGATGCGTCAATCAAATCCTGGCTCCGAAAGTGACATCAAACCCGCTTTTCTCATCAGGACAAATCCCTGGAAGCAGAGGCCAGCGACGTGGTTGGCGGAGTTTACCAGCTGATGGCTGACTACGAGACGGCACAGCAATGGCACCAAAGAGCTCTGGACATGGCGGAGCAGACGGGTTGCGTGAAGAAGCAAACACGAGCCTACGGAAACCTGGGAGCGACCTATGAGGCTCTGGGCAACTACGAGAGGGCTCTGGTTTTCCAGGAGCAGCACCTTAGCATGGCGGCGCAGACCAACAACTTGGTGGCCAAAACGGTAGCGTACGGCAGTTTGGGGAGGATACACCACGCACTGGGCAACTACACGCAGGCCGTGATGTACCTGCAGGAAGGTGAGGAATTTAACGACCACGTCAAGACATCAGCACCTCTCTCATCGCTTTTCTGAACTCATTTTGGGCTGTGCTTGGAATCATGTGTTCACTCAACTAAACCGCCCATTATCTCAAAATTCATATCTAGTCAGTCGGGAATGATTGAAAGATTGCCAACACAACCTTGAATTGCTTTCAGGTCTTCGCCTGGCTGAGCAGTTGGCTCGGAGAGAAGACGAGGCTAAGATACGCCACCGCCTTGGCTTGGCTCTGTGGGCTGCTGAAAACCTGGAGGAGGCCCAACACCAGGTCTGAAGCCTAGACCGCGTAATTGTTTGTGGAACAAAATATCGATTTGAAATGGTGAGAACTCATTGTTCTGCGTGTTTCAGCTCTACAGAGCATCAGTTCTCTTTGAGACCATTCGCCGCGAGATGCAGCACAGCCCGGACTACAAGCTCTCCCTCTTTGACCTACAGACGGACTCGTACCAGGCTCTCCAGAGGGTCCTCGTCAGCCTGGGTAGGATATTATCTCAGCATGAATAGCATTTCGTGTAACGAATATTAGAATTTAATTTGTAAATGTAGGTCAGCAGCCAAAAACTGATCATCCATCGCTGTCGATTTACAAACATTTGTTTACTGTTCTTCCACAGGCCGCCATGAGGAGGCGCTGGCCATAGCGGAGCGAGGCCGAACCCGGGCCTTCACTGACCTACTGGTGGAACGTCAAAAAGTACACCAGCAGTCAGCAGGCTCAGACCAGTACGCCCCGGTTACGGTGGAGCACATCCTGGAGACGGTCAACTCCCAGAAGGCCATGGTGCTGTATTTCTCCGTGGTGGGAGACTTCCTGTACAGCTGGCTGCTGGCTCCCGGCTCAGGTAGTAAAAAATATACAACCCTTCACGTTATCCGCTTCCCTTTTTCAACATCTCTCCACTATTGTCATGGTGATGACACAGGCATCGTCAAGTTCAACCAGACTTGTCTCGGAGCTGACGCGCTGGAGTTCCAAGAGCGCTTGAGCTTGCAGGATGCGAGTCCGCTCTCGCTGGAGCAGTACATCAGCAATGCCAGAGAGGTTCTGGGAATTGATGGAAACCTCGGCAGGTAAAACACGACACAACTTTACTGCGTTACGACGTACTTTGAGGACTATTGTGTTTAAGCCGTGGGAACGATTGCCTAAATTAGTAACAGGATTCTTTATCAAATGACTGATAATGTCTATTCAGTGGTTCTGGAGGTTCTGCTTGTGCTGGAGTTGTAAGAAGCATGTATTCCCAACCCTGGGGTCAGCAACCCAAAATGTTGAAAGAGCCATATAGGACAAAAAAAAACAAAAAACAAATATGTCTGGAGCCGCAAAAAAATAAAAGCCTTCTATAAAACTTACAATGAAGGAAACACATGCTGTATGTATGTAGGAGACTCTACTGTCTCAGAATTGTTTGTTATTCATTCCTTTGTTGTGTGTTCACAAACGCCCCCATAGAATTTATTTTGTGATGTCCTCGCTTTATTTTTTTGTTTTGGTTCATTATTTTCGCTTTTCTTAGTGTCAGTGAAGTGATCATGGATTTCCGTTTTTCGGAGGCTGTCTTTGAACGCCTCTCGAGTTGAAGAGGAGAGAGGCACGGAATCGGAAGTAGACGTGTCTGTGTTTGTCGAGTCTGTTAAAAGCATAAATAAAGTGTCTGTTTGAAAAAAAAACAACACCACAACTCTCCTTTTTCGGAGCTGCAACATGTATCTATATCTATTTGAGCTATATTAGCCTACTATCAAAATCTTTTTCCATTTTCAAACATGTTTTAATAAAGCTCCAGGGAGCCACTAGATGTCGCTAAAGAGCCGCATGCGGCTCTGGAGCCGCGTGTTGCCGACCCCCGTCCCAACCGGACCTTAAGAGGCCTAATCTAACGAAGTCATATTTCGACTTATTGAAGCAATATTCCCTTGTAGGCTTAACGCGGACAGTGAGACCGAGAGCGAAGCCGGAGATGTTCCGAAGCGACACTTTGACGAGCTCAATGACAAAATGAACTCCGATGACGACCCCAGCGGCTACCTGCGCATGGTGTCCAGGAACAACATCTTCAACGGGTGACTCTTCCCTTTAAGCAGCTAGTTTAGCATGCTAATGTAGCAAGGGAGCACAACCGATGCAAACTCAGCATGCCGGAGAAATTGCTTGCGGAAGGGATTAGCTGTTTTACTACAACAGTTTGTACTTCACACGTCCAAGATGACCATTGACCATTCTGTACAAGTATCTTACACACAAGACAACGAGCTAGAAATAATTTTGCTAAGCTGCGGACTGTGAAAGGGGTTTTCTGCTTCGTTTTGGTGAACAGAAGTTGCCGCAGTGTACGTAGCATCAACAGCATTTCTTCAGCGAAGGACGGCTCGTCTTCTCCTTCCCGCTGGTCGGGTATCAAACCTTCTCCTCTACGTGCTCTCTATGACTTGCTCATCGGGCCGATGGAAACGGTACGTACGCACGACGAGAAAGGTGGTCTGTCCATTTAGCAGTTTCAAGTCCTGATTCTGGTTTGAGTAAAGTCAATTCATTTGTGTTTTTTTATTTCAGGCCCTGCTGCATGGAGGTGGTCCAACGGGCCGACACCGGCAACTAGTTCTGGTCCTGGAGGGTGACTTGTACCTGGTGCCTTTCGCCTTGCTCAAAGGCAGCTCGTCAAACGAGTTCCTTTATGAGATGTTCAGTCTGCTTTGCGTGCCCTCATTAGCAAGCCTCCGAGTTTCCGAAAAGCATTCTAACCCCGTTGTCGCCTTACCCTGCTGCGACGCCGGCTCAGCGCCCACCGTGGTGGGGGCGCCGCACCTGCCGCCCGGCATGATGCGGCGCTGGATGTGGGGGCCGCTGCCTTCGGCCCAGGATGAGGCTCTGTGTCTGGGGGAGCAGCTTAGGTGTCGCCTGCTCACCGGCGTCAATGCCACAAAAGAGAGTGTCATCGCTGCCCTCTCGCGGGCACAGTGCGTTCATTTCGCCACTCATGTCTCCTGGAAGCTCGCCGCCCTGGTGCTCGCCCCCAGCCGGGAACGAACCGCCGGCCAGGAAGAAGAGGAGGAGGAAGAGGGGGGCCGGCGGACGCTGCCATCAAGTGCGGAACGCTGTGTCGGAGGAAAGAGGAGTTGCAAGGACGTTGACAGCATTGGTGAGAATGCATGTGAAAGCGCATGCAGCGGTCCGCCGCTTCAAGACTTCCTCCTCACGGCGGCGGATATCTTGGAACTCAACCTGAGTGTCAAGCTGGTGGTCCTCAGGTTGGTGGTGAAGGGTTCCGCGAGGGTTCTTAACGTTAACGGTATCTAAATGATATAAGGGTTTCAAGACAGCGTTATGGTTTCAAAGACTGCCGCCCATCTCCCAGGTTGTACCCGGAGTGTGGCGTGTGGCTGACATGTGACGGCTTGTTGGGCCTGACCGGAGCCTTCCTGTCGGCGGGCGTCCGATGCGTGTGCGTGTCCCTGTGGCCCACGCCGCCGCCTGCCGCCAAACTCTTCATGCAGAGCTTCTACTCGGCCCTGCTCAACGGCGCCCCCTCTAGCGCCGCACTCAACGGCGCCATGAGGGCGCTACACAACAGCAAGGACTTTGCACACCCCTCCAACTGGGCAGGTGACCGCATTCAAAACCCTTCCTTGGAACCTGACGTTGAAACCCGAACAGCAATTTTTGAAACAATAACTCGAAACACTAACCCTGGCTTCATGTTTTCATTTGAAACCTGACTGGGGGCTTGAAACCTGTGTTTAAATCCTTACTTTGAAAAGCTAACTCTCACTTTAAATTCAATTTGGAATGCAAATCTTTACCCAGTCTTGAAACCGTAATTTGAAACTCTAACTTGAAACCCTAATCCTACTTTGAAACCCGAAACCTGCCTTGAAGCCTTGCTTTGAAACCTTAATCCTTCTTTTTAAACTAAACTAAACTCTGACCCTGGCTTGAAACCCCAACCTTGTGTTTTTACCTCACTTTAAAACCTTACTGGTGATTTGAATCCCTAACTTGAAACTGCAAACCTGTTTGGAAACCCTTTTGCGGTTTGCCCTCTTTGACAATGTCGTGTTTTGAAATCAAAACAAGCACTATGTGTTGTCGCACAGGTTACCTTCTGATCGGTAGCGATGTTAAGGTCAACGGCCCCGAGTCTGCGCTGCGACAGGCCTTGGCAGAGGTCCTCCGGCATGCCAACCGGGCCAGGGATGCCCTGAGGGTTCTTCTGCACCTGGTCAGAAGTCAAGACACGTGGCGTGGCGTGACGTGATCGTTACGCGACGCTTCTTTCGAATGATCCGATCAGACAAAAATAATCTGATTCGTCTTGTGTTGTGTGCAGGTGGAGAAGGCCTTGCAACGCATTCACACTGGCCACACGAACCCCATGTATACATCGCAGCAAAGTGTGGACAAGAAGGTGTGTGGCAAGTGTGTATTTCTCCCATTGTGTGCACATCTATGCTACCCTTCAGTTGTCTGCTGTGTACGTGTTCAAAGGTCGGTGGCGTACCCGGGTGGCGCTCCCTGTTGTCGGCGTTGGGTTTCCGTTTGGACGTAGGCAAATCCGGCCTCCCCGCCGCCGTCTTCTTCCCCACGTCGGACCCTGGAGAGCGGCTGCAACAGTGCAGTCTCACCATGCAAGCCCTACTCGGTACTGAGCTTTCAAAGCACAGTTAAGGTTTCATATTCACCCTTTGAACCTGGATTAGTATTTGAAACCTTTTATACTCAAAGAGCCATTTTGACCCGGTTAACACGGAAAAGACAACACTGGTGGCCGCAAACACTTTTTGACATTTGAAACGATGATGTGAACCTTCAGCAGAGAATTCGGAGTCCAAGTAGATGCCTCTATTCCTTTATTTCCTCCCTTGTTTTTTTTTTTGCTCTGCACTGCCTGTTTTAATCAAGTGGCCACACCTGGTGGAGTTGTGAGGCATGCCGGGAAATGTCGTTTCTGAATTATCGGGGATTGGAAAGCGCTCTATAAGTAACAGCTCATTTACCATTGACCATTGTGTGTTGAGGTCTGAGTGCTGCTGCTCTTCGGGCTCTTTGCAAACTGGTGTCAGCACCTGAGGCAGGAGAGCAACTCATATACAAGGTAACCAACGCCACATCACTCACATTTGCCTTGAAGCGACTTTGCAGTAAACGAGGTACAGTCAAACCTCGTTTTTCAAACGTCTCTGTTCTCGACCAAATCGGTTTTCGACCAAAAATTTCGAGTTTTTTATGCCTCGGATTACGACCGAAAAATCGGTTCTCGACCAAACGGAGCGCACTTGAATGCGCCACTTGACTCCTCCCACTTTCCTTACATGAGGAAGTAACGCTTCCTCGGGTAGACGAGGAAGTGACGCTTCCTCGTTAGCGTTCTATTGTGAGCAGACGTCTTCAATAAAGATTATTTTTTTAAAGAGCGTGGTTTCGGTTTTCGAACAAATTGATTTTCTGGATTAGTATTTGAAACCTTTTATACTCAAAGAGCCATTTTGACCCGGTTAACACGGAAAAGACAACACTGGTGGCCGCAAACACTTTTTGACATTTGAAACGATGATGTGAACCTTCAGCAGAGAATTCGGAGTCCAAGTAGATGCCTCTATTCCTTTATTTCCTCCCTTGTTTTTTTTTTTGCTCTGCACTGCCTGTTTTAATCAAGTGGCCACACCTGGTGGAGTTGTGAGGCATGCCGGGAAATGTCGTTTCTGAATTATCGGGGATTGGAAAGCGCTCTATAAATAACAGCTCATTTACCATTGACCATTGTGTGTTGAGGTCTGAGTGCTGCTGCTCTTCGGGCTCTTTGCAAACTGGTGTCAGCACCTGAGGCAGGAGAGCAACTCATATACAAGGTAACCAACGCCACATCACTCACATTTGCCTTGAAGCGACTTTGCAGTAAACGAGGTACAGTCAAACCTCGTTTTTCAAACGTCTCTGTTCTCGACCAAATCGGTTTTCGACCAAAAATTTCGAGTTTTTTATGCCTCGGATTACGACCGAAAAATCGGTTCTCGACCAAACGGAGCGCACTTGAATGCGCCACTTGACTCCTCCCACTTTCCTTACATGAGGAAGTAACGCTTCCTCGGGTAGACGAGGAAGTGACGCTTCCTCGTTAGCGTTCTATTGTGAGCAGACGTCTTCAATAAAGATTATTTTTTTAAAGAGCGTGGTTTCGGTTTTCGAACAAATTGATTTTCGAACAGCCTTTTGGAACGGATTATGGTCGAAAACCAAGTTATGACTGTACGTTGAAATGAGGTTGTACGGTATCCTTCTCAGTGACTTTTCTCGTGTATCCTCCCGCAGCTCCATCAGGTGCTTCTGCAGCTGCAGTCATCTGACTGCGAGCGTGACCAATCATCGACTGCCATCCCAATGTCCCTCAGCGTGCAGGCGTGGAGGCTTCCCGGCTGCCACGAGTTCCTCGCCGCGCTCGGTAGAAAAAGCACAAAGGAAGCAAATGAAAGCCCGAGAGAGTATCACAACAGATCCTAATGTTTGCTTGGCAGGGTTCGACCTATGTGAGGTGGGTCAGGAGGACGTTCTGTTGAAGACGGGGAAGCAGGCCAGCAGGCGTGTTATCAATTTTGCTATCCGGTCACTCCTGGCGCTTTTTGGTGAGAACACCTCATTGTGTGTTTCCACTTCACTTCGATTCTGTGTGAAAAGTATCCACATGGAATGGGTATAAACGGGCGAATAAACCAGCTTGTCAAGCAATAGCGATTGACTGCCGGCCCATTTAAAGTGATTGACAGGTTAATAGGTGAGCAAGCCAGATTAACATCAAAACTTTTCAGTTTTACCCACCCAATGCAGGGTTGATTGCTGACCAATCCAGTGGAACAAGAAACCAATTCAGACTGGCCAGTCCGTTTTTCACTGGGGACCAATCAACGTTGACTACAGTCAATGCAGGTTGACAGGAGACCAGTTTATTCTCTTACATGCTGATCCTGAGGAAACTTTGTAAAAGTGACTGAAGCGGCAAATCCAGGTCCAAAAAGTAAAAACCCTGCAGCAGTTTGGCTTTAACCACAAGTGCTTCTGCGCTTACTGGCAGGTACCCTAAACGAGACCATGTGACAATTGAGGTTGGTGACCAATCGAATGTGACTGACAACCAAACAGATTTAGATGCAAACGATTAAAACTCATTCCGTACCAGCCAATTCTGGACCAAGTCTGAAAAGACGTCTTTGGGAGTGAATGAGTTAAGTAGGATGACTGGAGACCAATCCAGGATAACAATCAACTGGTCCATATTGACTGGGAACAAACCTAAATTGACTGACCGACACGCTAAATTGACTGGCGACCAATCCAGGTTAACTCGTGACCAATCGTGTAGGATTGGTCATGTGTGACACGCTTCTTCCCGGTCTTGTTTCAGACTCCACGGATCTTTCCAAGCGTGTGAGCATGTACAGCTCCTCCTCTCTGGAGTCTCTCTCGTCCTCCCCGTTGGCCCCTCAGCACCCGTCTTTTCCCGCCTCGCCGCCTCGTCCTTCCGTCCCACCCGCGATCTGCCCGGATGCATTGTCCAGCGACGCCATCTCCGTCTATAGCCTCAGCTCGCTCACCTCCTCCTTCAGCTTCTTGTCACGACCCGAGCCCGCAGGAAGTGATGTCGACAGTCGGTGCACGCAACCGCAGGAGGGGATGATGACGCCTTGCCGCTCCAGGCGAGTGACCAATCAGGGTAAAGGGGAGGCGGGCGATGAGGACTACCAGGGCTACGCCATCATTAGCAGCGAGCCTCTGAGGCCAGAGCACCGTGACACACCATCTGCAGGACACTCCCACACCAGGGGGGCCAATGGACAAGGGTCTGCCACCACTTCCACGGCAGCATCTCCCAACAAAGCGGCACCGCCAAAAGTTCCTGCCAAGCCGCATTACAAACAGAAAATGTGAGTTTTTGACTTCGCCGCGACACACTTTGTACTAAGGCAACGGTTGTCTGAATTAATTGGGAGATCATTTACTTTGGTTGCAAAACTCACTGATTACGATCCAAATATTCCTTTTCGCAGTTCATCTCCTCAGAGGAGCATGACGCCCGGCAAAGGGAAGATTAGCAACTTCGAGTCAGACCGCTCAAGTACGGCGACCGACAGCACCATCAAGTCCCAGGAGGAGCGCAGCATACCGGTGGGGCAGCTGGACCCCCAGGAGCTGGCTCGCAAGATCCTGGAGGAGACCCAGGGCCACATGCGAGCTGTGGAGAGCCTGCAGAGGGTCCCGGGGCGGCGCTGTCTCTCGACGCCCACCACCCCGATTCTGAGCAGGGGGGCACGTGCCTTTCAGCCGTCTGAGACCAGCGCCTTCAGCAGACCACCAAGTAGAACGAGTCTCAGTGCTGTGCCCCTCAGTCCTCTCTCTCCCAGACCACCATGCCGCTCCTCTTCCCTGCAGAAGCTCATTCCGCCCTCATCTCCCAAAGATCTCAACAAACGTTCAACGAGCAGTGAGTTTCACCTGAAACTACCTGACAGAGAGTGCGACTTCAAACCTTTGCCTCAAGGCGGGTCTTTTCTCAGACCGTCAACTGGGAAAGAGTCCCACATCAAACAACCAGGCAAAGGGTCCCACCTTAAAACCTCATCTGCAATTGAATCCCGTCTCAAACCTTCACCTGCCAACGAATCCCACGTCAAACCAGCTGGCAGCGACTCCCACCTCAAGGCTTTTTCCCACCTCCAAACTTCACCTGGCATTGAGTCCCATCTCAAAACGTCACTTTACAGCGAGTCCCACCTTAAACCAGCTGGCAGAGATTCTCACAGGAAAAATTCACCTGATATCGATTCCTACTTCAAACGTTCACCTGACAGTAAATCCCACATAAAACCATCTGGCAGAAATACAGATTTCAAACCACCTGGTCGAGAGTCCCACCTCAAACTGCCACTTGAGATTAAGTCCCACCTAAAATCTTCGCCTGGGAGCAAGTCCCATCAAAAACCACCCAGCAGTGAAGCACACCTCAAACCATCCCTTACACTACCCCCCTCCCCGATTACCGTTTCTCGCTCTAAAACCTTCAAGGCGGCTCGCCAACACGAAGGCGTGGCCCCTGCCAGCCTCCTTCCAGTAAAGAAAATGAGCACAGTGCGGAAGGACGTTCTGGGTTTGCTGGACCTTTCGCCGCGACATGAGCCCAGTGAGAGTCTGGACCGTCTCCACAGTGTGGACACCAAATCGCCGCCTACCGCCAAACCTTCTAAACGCACCAAATTTCCTGCTGGCTACAAATTTCTAGCGGGGCATTTTTTCCATTCCTCTAAATGTTGACATTGGCACCTTCCTGGTTGCCTTGGAGATTGAGTGAACCTGATGTTCTGAGAGGGTTACGGTAGAAGTCAGTGAAATGTGATGAGACAGTGTTGGTTGCTAGGTAACGAATGTTGATGTGAGTGAAGCATACAGAAAGAAAACTATTGAGGATTGGACTTGAGTTAAGATGATTCTGTGCTGATACAACCCGTCTTCCAATGAAGTTGGAACTTTTTGTTGAAAATAAATCAAAACACAATATAATAATTTGCAAATCATGGTCAATCCCTTGAATACACTTCAAACGTTTGTTGAATGTTGTGAAAAGAAAAGTTGATGTCAGACAGTGGTAAACATGACCCTTTCCCCGCTTTTTTGGGAATGTGTTGCAACCGTAAAAGTCAAAGTTAATGATTTGATCAAAACAAAAAAGTTGATCACTTTGAACATTAAATATCTTAACTTTGTAGTGCATTCAATGAAATATAGGTTGAAGATGATGTGCAAATTATTGTATTCTGCTTTTATTTATGTTCAACATAACATAACATATATGTTTTCAGTTACACGTCTTTAATACATATACAGTATAATAAAAATATTGAATTGAAATTATTTTCCATATTTTTTAATAAATGATGTCGTCATTGTCTTGTAATTGTTCATTTTTACACAGATTTTTACAATAAAGGGAAGCCCGCATATTCGCGGTTTACCATGCCTCGGCTAATGATTGATTGTTCGGTTTCACGGTAATGATTTATCGATTGGCTCAGCCAATCCGACATCTCCCAGAGGGCGGGGCCAATTTGTTGACCGTGCTTTCTCGTTTTGCCTCGACACTGCGCAGGCGCAGACCGGCGGATGAAGATGGTGCTCATCAAGGAATAGTGAGTCTGACGTGTTGGTTTTTTTCCCTTTTTTTCCCCTAATCATCGTTTTGGCGCATTTTCATTCATTTAAGAGCTTTATAGCGAGCTTTGAACACGCGGCGTATTTCGCCGGGTTTGTCAGTCGGTAGTCCTCCACAAGACATATTGAGTGCGGGCAGGATAACGGACGCGGTTAACGGGACACCGGTCTTTTTAAGGCGTCGCTAGTGAAAAGCTCTCGCTAGCTGCGAGGGTGGACAATTAGCCTCCGACTCAATATGAGTCGTACAAAAAAAAAAAAAAAGCACACACAGATCGTCGCGTTTAGCCCGTTCAACATTGGGGCGTATGTGTGCTAAACCCACTAGCTTCGGATAACCTGTTAGCATCTCGTTATAGCCCCAAAGTGTCGTAATGTTAAGCTTTTGAGGGACAGATTAAGACTCCGTCGGATTTAGCCGTAAAGGCTAACAAGCGAGGCTAGGAGCTTTGCTAGCAGTCAACCAGCTAGCAGCAGAACACTTCCCTAGCCCCGCAGCCCACCTCAACAGAGAAATGTCACAATATCTGGCAGTGTTGTGAACACTTTAAACGACTATACGACTCTCCCCCACGCTTTTTCCCATAGACTGTTTGAAAGTGCTCTATAAATACATTTGAGTTGAGTTGAGAAAGAGGACGCGGAAAGTGGGTTGGTACGTTGTCAGCTTGCTCCCTTTTCGATGGGGCGATTAAATGCCAACTGTTAGCATGGCTAATCTGTAAAACAACGAGGCTTTAGATTAAAAACGGTGTTTAAACTACTAGCACGAGGTTGTATCTACCTGGGTAATACACCAACTAATAGCGTTATTAGTTGGTCATTAGTCATGACAAGACATTTGAACTATTTCAAGCCTGTGAGTTTACCTGTCGCTCGTGATTTCAAACAGCAATTCATTAAATCAATAAAGAATTCACAATCTTTGTAAATGCCGTGGCAAATACAATAAATAACAATTCTGAGGAAGTAAAGGAAAACTGACCAATCAGGTAGAGTGATTTCCTGTTTTTAAAGCAGGTTTTTAAACTTTGGGTTCAGGGCGCATTATAGTCGCCAGTCATTTTAATTTTATTTATTTTTTTACTGTCCCAGAAAAATTCTGTTATCTTTTTTTATTATTGTGCTAACTAATGACTCAAGCCGAGACTTGTTCTGGGAAGGTAAAAAGCTAACAATCTGCTGTATGTACCTGTAGCTTGATAATAATAAATTCCCTTTTAATATTACATGGTTACAATTATGTTGTGTGTAACACTATGTATCACTACTGTAGTTGTGAATGTGACACATTCAGAGGAAATTAATCAGAACTGAACGCTCAGGGGAAGTGACAGATTTTTTTAGACCTAAGGTTTGGGGCCCACAATGATGACTGATCCGTGTTTTATTGACGTGTTAAAATTGTGTAATCAGTTTTATTGAGCCATCTTTCAGGCTAATAACTCGAGTCATGATGGACATTTTTGCAATGTAGCTAGCGAACAATTTGGTTACTGTGCCTGTTGTCACCATGGCTTATAACTTGTGAGTTCAACTGGATGAATAGCACAACACATATCACAATAAATGGATCCTACCTGCTGTTTATATTGCATTGTATCCCTAATGTAGTTGTAACTGTGACACATTCCATAGATCAATGCATTATCTGAGTCGCTTATCCTCACAAGGTTCGCGGTTGTGCTGGAGCCTATCCCAGCTGACTTCGGCAGTTGGCGGGGTGTCCATTTGAATCAGGTGTGTTAGAGGAGTGAGACATGTAAAACAGGATGGTTAGGGACTGTCAAGGATCGGATTTGGGCACCCCTTATTTGAGTTGAAGCTATGATTTGAATACTGTATACATCCCCGTAATCACACCTCTCTTTTTGTTTTGTGCCTGCAGTCGTGTGGTGTTGCCCATTTCTGTTGAAGAGGTGAGTGTCATTGCATGGAAAAGTCATACTAGACTGTTACGCTACGTTCAAGAATGATGCCAAATGTTCAATGACCTGACCTCCAAGATGGATAATTCCTCAACCCAAGCAGGCCTGAATTCAGCAATTCACAACTATCATGTTCTGCAGAGGTTGCTTTCATTCAATTTTCAATGTTGTTTTCTTCTCAAGATCACATACTGAGTAATGCCCTTAAGACAAATCAAGTGCAGCAGTGTGGCCTAACAAGCTTTAATGAGCACACGGAGAACCAAGATTAGTTTTGGCAGGGAGAAAGGAGGCGGCAAGGTGGAACTGGTACCATTTATTAAAAAAAAAACAAAACAAAAAGCTGTGTGAAAAAATCTCTCTCACACACACACACACACGCACACAGTTGGAATCATAAAATCCATTTTATGGGGTTCAGTCCATTCATCCGAGGGTGTGCTTTCTGTCGCCAGTATCAAGTGGGCCAGCTGTACTCCGTTGCCGAGGCCAGCAAGAATGAGACGGGCGGCGGCGAGGGCATCGAGGTGCTGAAGAACGAACCCTATGAGGAGGACGGCGAAAAGGGACAGTTCACACACAAAATTTACCACCTAAAGAGGCCAGTCTGCCACTCTCACTTTTGGACTTTACAAGGGTCGCCCCTCTGTTGCCTTCTCACCGGGCTCTTTGTCTTTTGCTCCCCTGCAGTAAAGTCCCAGCATATGTGAGGATGCTCGCGCCAGAGTCAGCGTTTGTTTTTCATGAAAAAGCCTGGAATGCATACCCCTACTGTCGCACCGGTAAGTCGCCGGACACATTACAGTGTATTGATTGATGGACATTGTGTTACATGTACATGGAATAACATCGGGAGTTGGTTGGATAGATGAATATGTCATTCGCTCATATTTTTATGTACAATTAATTGAATTAACAATTGTTTGATGGCATAAATAAAATGATAAATGTATGTTATTTTATTTTTTGAAATATGCGACGCGTCCCAACACGACTTGGACCACCACAAAAAAAAAAAAACGGACTCAGCCTTGCACACGGAGCGATTTGATATATGGGTGCAATAAATGTATGTTATTTTATTTTTTGAAATATGCGATGCGTCCCAACACGACTTGGACCATCACAAAAAAAAAAACGGACTCAGCCCTGCACACCGAGCGATTTGATATATGGGTGCCGTGCATCATGAACTGTGCAAGCCTTTGTCATGTTTTGGGGCGCTACATACAGTATGTTGTACCGTATTTATTTTATACATTTTTTTTTTTCACAATAACAAGGTAAAAGTCAAGTCGGAGAAGACAGGTTGCTGCAGAAAGAGATAAAAGCCAAAAATTGGGAAAAACCGTAAAAGACGGAGCTTCAAAGTATGTCGCTCAAATAGAGCTGGATAATCATGGAAAAAGTCATCACAATCATTTGGATTGAAATTAAAATCACAATGAATCAAACGATGATTCATTGATTTCAAAACTATGAATGCTAAGTCCCACCTCAAGGCTTTTTCCCACCTCCAAACTTCACCTGGCATTGAGTCCCATCTCAAAACGTCACTTTACAGCGAGTCCCACCTTAAACCAGCTGGCAGAGATTCTCACAGGAAAAATTCACCTGATATCGATTCCTACTTCAAACGTTCACCTGACAGTAAATCCCACATAAAACCATCTGGCAGAAATACAGATTTCAAACCACCTGGTCGAGAGTCCCACCTCAAACTGCCACTTGAGATTAAGTCCCACCTAAAATCTTCGCCTGGGAGCAAGTCCCATCAAAAACCACCTAGCAGTGAAGCCCACCTCAAACCATCCCTTACACTATCCCCCTCCCCGATTACCGTTTCTCGCTCTAAAACCTTCAAGGCGGCTCGCCAACACGAAGGCGTGGCCCCTGCCAGCCTCCTTCCGGTAAAGAAAATGAGCACAGTGCGGAAGGACGTTCTGGGTTTGCTGGACCTTTCGCCGCGACATGAGCCCAGTGAGAGTCTGGACCGTCTCCACAGTGTGGACACCAAATCGCCGCCTACCGCCAAACCTTCTAAACGCACCAAATTTCCTGCTGGCTACAAATTTCTAGCGGGGCATTTTTTCCATTCCTCTAAATGTTGACATTGGCACCTTCCTGGTTGCCTTGGAGATTGAGTGAACCTGATGTTCTGAGAGGGTTACGGTAGAAGTCAGTGAAATGTGATGAGACAGCGTTGGTTGCTAGGTAACGAATGTTGATGTGAGTGAAGCATACAGAAAGAAAACTATTGAGGATTGGACTTGAGTTAAGATGATTCTGTGCTGATACAACCCGTCTTCCAATGAAGTTGGAACTTTTTGTTGAAAATAAATCAAAACATAATATAATAATTTGCAAATCATGGTCAATCCCTTGAATACACTTCAAACGTTTGTTGAATGTTGTGAAAAGAAAAGTTGATGTCAGACAGTGGTAAACATGACCCTTTCCCCGCTTTTTTGGGAATGTGTTGCAACCATAAAATTCAAAGTTCATGATTTGATCAAAACAAAAAAGTTGATCACTTTGAACATTAAATATCTTAACTTTGTAGTGCATTCAATGAAATATAGGTTGAAGATGATGTGCAAATTATTGTATTCTGCTTTTATTTATGTTCAACATAATAACATAACATATATGTTTTCAGTTACACGTCTTTAATACATATACAGTATAATAAAAATATTGAATTGAAATTATTTTCCATATTTTTTAATAAATGATGTTGTAATTGTTCATTTTTACACAGATTTTTACAATAAAGGGAAGCCCGCATATTCGCGGTTTACCATGCCTCGGCTAATGATTGATTGTTCGGTTTCACGGTAATGATTTATCGATTGGCTCAGCCAATCCGACATCTCCCAGAGGGCGGGGCCAATTTGTTGACCGTGCTTTCTCGTTTTGCCTCGACACTGCGCAGGCGCAGACCGGCGGATGAAGATGGTGCTCATCAAGGAATAGTGAGTCTGACGTGTTGGTTTTTTTCCCTTTTTTTCCCCTAATCATCGTTTTGGCGCATTTTCATTCATTTAAGAGCTTTATAGCGAGCTTTGAACACGCGGCGTATTTCGCCGGGTTTGTCAGTCGGTAGTCCTCCACAAGACATATTGAGTGCGGGCAGGATAACGGACGCGGTTAACGGGACACCGGTCTTTTTAAGGCGTCGCTAGTGAAAAGCTCTCGCTAGCTGCGAGGGTGGACAATTAGCCTCCGACTCAATATGAGTCGTACAAAAAAAAAAAAAAAAGCACACACAGATCGTCGCGTTTAGCCCGTTCAACATTGGGGCGTATGTGTGCTAAACCCACTAGCTTCGGATAACCTGTTAGCATCTCGTTATAGCCCCAAAGTGTCGTAATGTTAAGCTTTTGAGGGACAGATTAAGACTCCGTCGGATTTAGCCGTAACGGCTAACAAGCGAGGCTAGGAGCTTTGCTAGCAGTCAACCAGCTAGCAGCAGAACACTTCCCTAGCCCCGCAGCTCACCTCAACAGAGAAATGTCACAATATCTGGCAGTGTTGTGAACACTTTAAACGACTATACGACTCTCCCCCACGCTTTTTCCCATAGACTGTTTGAAAGTGCTCTATAAATACATTTGAGTTGAGTTGAGAAAGAGGACGCGGAAAGTGGGTTGGTACGTTGTCAGCTTGCTCCCTTTTCGATGGGGCGATTAAATGCCAACTGTTAGCATGGCTAATCTGTAAAACAACGAGGCTTTAGATTAAAAACGGTGTTTAAACTACTAGCACGAGGTTGTATCTACCTGGGTAATACACCAACTAATAGCGTTATTAGTTGGTCATTAGTCATGACAAGACATTTGAACTATTTCAAGCCTGTGAGTTTACCTGTCGCTCGTGATTTCAAACAGCAATTCATTAAATCAATAAAGAATTCACAATCTTTGTAAATGCCGTGGCAAATACAATAAATAACAATTCTGAGGAAGTAAAGGAAAACTGACCAATCAGGTAGAGTGATTTCCTGTTTTTAAAGCAGGTTTTTAAACTTTGGGTTCAGGGCGCATTATAGTCGCCAGTCATTTTAATTTTATTTATTTTTTTACTGTCCCAGAAAAATTCTGTTATCTTTTTTTATTATTGTGCTAACTAATGACTCAAGCCGAGACTTGTTCTGGGAAGGTAAAAAGCTAACAATCTGCTGTATGTACCTGTAGCTTGATAATAATAAATTCCCTTTTAATATTACATGGTTACAATTATGTTGTGTGTAACACTATGTATCACTACTGTAGTTGTGAATGTGACACATTCAGAGGAAATTAATCAGAACTGAACGCTCAGGGGAAGTGACAGATTTTTTTAGACCTAAGGTTTGGGGCCCACAATGATGACTGATCCGTGTTTTATTGACGTGTTAAAATTGTGTAATCAGTTTTATTGAGCCATCTTTCAGGCTAATAACTCGAGTCATGATGGACATTTTTGCAATGTAGCTAGCGAACAATTTGGTTACTGTGCCTGTTGTCACCATGGCTTATAACTTGTGAGTTCAACTGGATGAATAGCACAACACATATCACAATAAATGGATCCTACCTGCTGTTTATATTGCATTGTATCCCTAATGTAGTTGTAACTGTGACACATTCCATAGATCAAGGCATTATCTGAGTCGCTTATCCTTACGAGGTTCGCGGTTGTGCTGGAGCCTATCCCAGCTGACTTCGGCAGTTGGCGGGGTGCCCATTTGAATCAGGTGTGTTAGAGGAGTGAGACATGTAAAACAGGATGGTTAGGGACTGTCAAGGATCGGATTTGGGCACCCCTTATTTGAGTTGAAGCTATGATTTGAATACTGTATACATCCCCGTAATCACACCTCTCTTTTTGTTTTGTGCCTGCAGTCGTGTGGTGTTGCCCATTTCTGTTGAAGAGGTGAGTGTCATTGCATGGAAAAGTCATACTAGACTGTTACGCTACGTTCAAGAATGATGCCAAATGTTCAATGACCTGACCTCCAAGATGGATAATTCCTCAACCCAAGCAGGCCTGAATTCAGCAATTCACAACTATCATGTTCTGCAGAGGTTGCTTTCATTCAATTTTCAATGTTGTTTTCTTCTCAAGATCACATACTGAGTAATGCCCTTAAGACAAATCAAGTGCAGCAGTGTGGCCTAACAAGCTTTAATGAGCACACGGAGAACCAAGATTAGTTTTGGCAGGGAGAAAGGAGGCGGCAAGGTGGAACTGGTACCATTTATTAAAAAAAAAACAAAACAAAAAGCTGTGTGAAAAAATCTCTCTCACACACACACACACACGCACACAGTTGGAATCATAAAATCCATTTTATGGGGTTCAGTCCATTCATCCGAGGGTGTGCTTTCTGTCGCCAGTATCAAGTGGGCCAGCTGTACTCCGTTGCCGAGGCCAGCAAGAATGAGACGGGCGGCGGCGAGGGCATCGAGGTGCTGAAGAACGAACCCTATGAGGAGGACGGTGAAAAGGGAACACACACACACGCACACAGTTGGAATCATAAAATCCATTTTATGGGGTTCAGTCCATTCATCCGAGGGTGTGCTTTCTGTCGCCAGTATCAAGTGGGCCAGCTGTACTCCGTTGCCGAGGCCAGCAAGAATGAGACGGGCGGCGGCGAGGGCATCGAGGTGCTGAAGAACGAACCCTATGAGGAGGACGGCGAAAAGGGACAGTTCACACACAAAATTTACCACCTAAAGAGGCCAGTCTGCCACTCTCACTTTTGGACTTTACAAGGGTCGCCCCTCTGTTGCCTTCTCACCGGGCTCTTTGTCTTTTGCTCCCCTGCAGTAAAGTCCCAGCATATGTGAGGATGCTCGCGCCAGAGTCAGCGTTTGTTTTTCATGAAAAAGCCTGGAATGCATACCCCTACTGTCGCACCGGTAAGTCGCCGGACACATTACAGTGTATTGATTGATGGACATTGTGTTACATGTACATGGAATAACATCGGGAGTTAGTTGGATGGATGAATATGTCATTCGCTCATATTTTTATGTACAATTAATTGAATTAACAATTGTTTGATGGCATAAATAAAATGATAAATGTATGTTATTTTATTTTTTGAAATATGCGATGCGTCCCAACACGACTTGGACCATCACAAAAAAAAAAACGGACTCAGCCCTGCACACCGAGCGATTTGATATATGGGTGCCGTGCATCATGAACTGTGCAAGCCTTTGTCATGTTTTGGGGCGCTACATACAGTATGTTGTACCGTATTTATTTTATACATATTTTTTTTTAACAATAACAAGGTAAAAGTCAAGTCAGGAGAAGACAGGTTGCTGCAGAAAGAAGACGCGGGCAAGATAAAAGCCAAAAATTGGGAAAAACCTTAAAAGACGGAGCTTCAAAGTATGTCGCTCATGAGCTGGATAATCATGGAAAAAGTCATCACAATAATTTGGATTGAAATTAAAATCACAATGAATCAAACGATGATTCATTGATTTCAAAACTATGAATGCTAAGTGCCGGACTAACTTGCACCACACCTGCCTGGAGCTGCAGCTGGCTGGCTAGCCAGCGGGGTGTGAGCCCGCTCCCCCAAATCTTTCATTCTTGCTTCCACAGCAACGAATAAGCTGTGCTTCTGACAAGTGTTGTTATCGCTGCTGGTCGACAAAGAGCAATTAACAAAAGACTGAGAAGCTAATCACTAAGCTAATGTGAAATATAAGGTAGCAAAACACCAGAAGAATGTGCTTTGGCTGGAACCATGTCACGGTGTGAGTTTTGTTTTCTTCCCCATTTTTCAGGGTTTCTAAAATTTTTGTTTGTGATGATAGTTAGGAGAAAAATGTGCTTTGAAATGAAATGTTTGTATATTTGAAAGTGACGATTGGTGACACTAACAGCTTTTTTCTTTCCTTCCGCCGCACCGCTGCAGTCGTGACGGTGAGTGTCATCCTTCTCTTTATCGGCACGCGTTGGCAGTGTAGCGCCATCTGTCTTTAGGCGAGCGTTAGGCCGCGCATCACGCTGCAGTCGTTCCAAGCAGCATGGTGGCTATCTAAACGTCTTATTGGTTTATTGGATTTAGCCGTAAATCCCGGCCTCCATTCATGGCGCGCTCGCTAAGTCTGAGATCAGCTACAACTGTCAACACCGCCTGATCACATCAACTTTATTCTTATAAGATCATGTCTTGTTGTTGAAAAATATCCGACTTTATACTGATATACTTACCCACCACGCAGAACGAATACATGAAAGATGACTTTGAGATCAAGATCGAGACGTGGCACAAGCCCGACATGGGAACAGTAGAAAATGTAAGTCGGCGCAAAAGCACACCGGCTCCTCCATTTTGCCATCATTCCAGTAATGCACCCTCACCAGATGTTGCGCCGCTGACTGTAATCCCGTCCTGCCTCATGTGTCAGGTGCATGACCTGGACGAGCAGACGTGGAGAAGCGTGGAGGTGGTTCCCATAGACATCGCCAACAAAGAGGAAGTGGCGGCAGGGGTGAGTTCTCAACAGCTTCATATAAACTCTGGAATGCGAATGTCATCCATTCCATTTTTTGCAACAGAATTTTGAATTTTCCATTGTCATTTTACTCAAATCAACTCAACACTGTTGTATTTATAGAGCACCTTAAGATCAACTGCATTCCATACACCACTCCAGATATAAATACAAAGTGAAAGTAAACTGAGGATTAACGTGACATGGCAGTGTTGTAACGCTTTAAGGAACCGATAATTGGCCTGCCTTCTAAGCCCCCCTGCGGGTGTACGCTGCTTTCAACACAAAGAGCAGGCGCTTGGGCGCTTCTCCCACTTCGAGTTGCAGTTTTGTCACACGAGCCCGAGTGCCGTAATGACTTAAGGGGATCAGCGCAGAGGTGTGGCTTAAGCGGTACGTCCCATCTGCCGCGGGCGCTCCCCACGCTTTCCTCCAGATGACCTGCCGGATTAAAACAGCACCACGCAAGAACAACAAAACCTCTTTTTAGCCTCTCGGCTGTGGTGGCAAACCTCAAAGTCAATTTTTGAAGGTTAAGTGGCTATAAACGGTTGACACATCCCTGTTATAATTCCAGGTGATATAAAAAAAAAATGTAGACCGCGCTAAATTATTTGAAAACTGAATCTGTTGTGACCTATAGCCTATAGAACCTAGTTGGAAATAAAAATGTTTTTGTGAAGGGAAGTAAAAATAAGCAACTAAGAATGTGATTGCAGAAATGTGGATCGTCATATGCGCAGCTGTTAGCAAATGGGAGGTTGGCATTTTTTTCCCTTGAGGTAGATATGCCCCCATAGTTTCAGCAAGAAGCTATTGTGCGCCCCCCAAAAATATATATTTCATATGTCATGTGATTGTAGGAAATATCCACCTTCCTTTTCGTGAACATAACATCTCCGATGTGAACATTTTGTGGATGAGGCTCGTTTGTGTCCATTTGCATTATGGAATACGCGACAAAAGTTCTGGAGATGTCTGTTGGGCTCCGTAAATGTCATCTGCTTACTTATATTTTCAACTCTGCGCCTTGAGGTAGATATGCCCCCATAGTTTCAGCAAGAAACTACTAACTATTGATTTGTCTTTTATTGCAGGACTACAAAGCAGAAGAGGATCCCTCCCTCTTCCACTCAGTCAAAACCGGAAGAGGCCCCCTCGGCCCTGAGTGGAAGGTAAGTGACACAGGCAGCAGAAATTGAGCCCCCTTATTGTGGTGGTGGTGTTGTTTTTTTTTTTTTGTTTTTTGTTTTTTTGGGTTGAAGTTCCATCTCTTTCTCCCGCGCAGAACGAGCTCAAGACGGATTGTCCGTACATGTGCGCATACAAGCTGGTCTCCGTCAAATTCCGGTGGTGGGGCTTTCAAACCAGAGTGGAGAACTTCATCCACAGGGTAAATCCCACATCTTGGCTTCTTGTCACGTCAAATGTTCCCCCGTTGTCGTGAAACACAGCACAGCGACCTCAGAGGATTACCTCGAAACTCCTAACGTGCCTTTGCGACACAAAAGTATGATTCCAGTCGTTTTGTGTCCACAGCAAGAAAAGCGCATCTTCACCAATTTCCACCGCCAGCTGTTCTGCTGGGTGGACAAGTGGGTGGGTCTGACCATGGAGGACATCAGGCGCATGGAGGAGGAGACCCAAAGGGAGTTGGAGGAGGTAAAGAACGTCTCCCTGGTTCCTCTACCCCCAAAAAGGCCCAATGGCGCTTTTTTAACCTTGTAATGTTGAATTAGATGCGTCAGAAGGGCGACGTGCGAGGCACCTCGGCGACAGACGAGTAGGCACCGTCGCTGTAGTCAAACTCTAGAGGCAGGCCGAGTAAGTCACGCATGGAGACCAGCCGCCCACTGCCGCCTGCATGGAGAGCTCTGTGCTCTTTGTCTGTCCTTCATCACGCTTTGAACGCGCTTGAACTCATCTGCGCCATCCTCTTCATCGTTATTCACATCCCACCGCTGCTAGATTTGACCTCTTTGGCAGGTGGTCTTAACTGGATTCAACTAAGAAGTGTGCCAGCTTTGCTGGAAGTCATTCACCAGCATGCGAACTAAGTTGATTTTAAACTGTAGAAAATAGCAAGTAGTGCATTTGGGATTTTGCTTTTATTTATGGCTAGTTTCCACTGAAAATGTGTAAAAGTAGACTAATTACATCATTCATTCAATGTCATCTTTCTGAAAGTCGGCTACAAATAGAAAAGGGCTCCATTTCCTCTTTTCTTATACGTTCAGAAAAAAATGACACCATGGCTAATGGATCATTAGCTCTGAATTATGTCCTAATTATGTTTTCCATAACTGAGAAGCCTCAACTTTGACCAAAGTGGTTGCGCTTGTCGTCTGTTGTCATTTGTCATCCGCTTTCTCTCATTGCTTTCTCTTCCAGCTCCTTGCCGTTGCCGTCTCCTTTCACCCACATTTTGCCCTGTTTGTAGCATACCCTATGTTTCATTTCGATGTGTCTTTTCATCCTTTTTGTATGTTTTTGCCGTTTGCCTCATCCAGCTGCGTAAGACCGGTCCGATTCGAGGCACCAGTGCTGCTCACGAGCAATGAGCCAAACCACCCCGACCCTGTCTTGATGATGTCATCGGAGACACGCACCACCTCCACCAACACCACCGCTGCCACCACCAGGAGGAAGTGGCCCTGGTTCCCCGCTGATGTACAGACCCCTCCCCACTCTGCTCCAACAACAAAACAACAACCTGGTTTTGCATATATATAAATATATATACACATACACAGAGACAAAAAAAAAAAGACGACCTCTTTGCACAGACGTAATTTGCCTGATATGTAAATGATACTTGGTGATTCAGACGGATGGGCTTTGTTTTTATTCTTACGTGGAGCCTTTTAAATTGACCATTAGGAGACGAATGTGCTTTTTAGACGTCAAGGTCCTCACCAAAATCGGGCGACTTGCAAACCCGTCGGACCATTTTTACGATGAGCTCCCCCCCATTGTTGTTATTCTACGTGTTTTTGTCTGTACTTCAACGCAGTATTTGTCTCCGCGTTATCGGAAGGGAGCCCCCACCCCCCCTGCGGATGGCAACTGCGCGCATGCCTGCGCTCGAAACGGGTCCTTGCTAAGGCGGGTGGGCGCTCTCCTGACTTAGCTTTACCCCGAGACCACCTCCACCCGTCAACTAATGTCATGCCCATTTTTTTTTTGTTTTGTTTTGTTAGCGCCCATGTCCAGGGACCGTGTGTGACTGCGTCATTAAGAGTGCGAGCCCTCTTTTGAAGTGTTCTGCTGCAATTTCGGCAGATTTTCAAGTCGTACTCACATGAGGCACATTCAAACTGTGCTTGAGCCCAATTGACACCTTCAATCCCAAACCTTTGACAAGTGCTCAGATGTATAATGGTGTTATGTAGGCGCACTTCGGCAGACTCCTCTCTCTTTTGGCCCGCTACAGGAAGTGATGTAGGCGTGGCCTGTAATTACTGTCATGGCACCACAGGGAGAACCTTACCTAATAGAAATCAATATGAATACTCGGTATAATACGCAAAGACCAAAAAGTCCACGGACCGCTCAGCTACGCATGTAATTTACGCGTCATTAATGAACTCCGAGTGCTCTGCATTGCAAGCGGTTTTAGAGTAGTTTGACGGATCTTTCTAGACCCGCAGAATATTGTGTTCTGTGAAAATAAAAGCACCAAACCGAGAGAGGGAGTTTGCGTGCCTCTTTAACCATTGGGGTAGGGGTTGTTTCTATTTTTTTCCATTTGTTTGTAATCAACAGTAGGACATGGGTTGGTTTCCCCCCCAAAATGGGCAGGGAGGGGTGAGCTTTTTGTGAAATACGTGTCAACCAGAAAGCAGTGAATTTGATGGTTATTTTTTGCTGTTTTGACATCCTCAAACTGTAGAATAAAAAGACTAAAAAGGGCTTTTGACAGTTTAAAAAAAAACGGAGCTCTACAACTAAGAATTGAACATCAGTGTCTTTTTTTTACATGCCGTTTATCATCTCTCCCATGACCTGGCAACAAATACTCTTTTAACATCATCGCCTCAAGTGTGGGGTGTCTAAACACTTGCGGCTCGCATCACGTGGACATTTCTCGCTGTCATACTCAATGTGACAGGCTAGGATTCACCCCCTAATCTCTGTCTTCTACTCCAAAACTGTGCTGATATCAAATCCCAAGCAACGCTCCCATCTACAGGCATCTGTCGGTCATTACACTGGTTTACAAACCAGAATTTCACAGATGAGCTGAGCGAGTCTCCCTTTCACGCCTACTCGTTGAAAAATGTACTTGACAATACTGTACATGTAAGAACACATTTTCATCCATTTGACGAAAATAAACGTCTTGCGTCAGTGAGCGAATTAATGAAATCGCTCGACTCTGTCATGATGACACAACAACAACAACAAAAAAACAAACACCATAGACACGGTTGGAATGGCCTCACGCGAGTACGGCCTTCGAAGGATGAGCCGAAGCGTGTGTGTGTGTAGATGTCAAACGTTTTGGACGAGGATCGCCGACGAACTAAAGGAAGACTTTTGAGGTTGTGCTGTTTGTCATAAGTGTACTTCTGGGGTCGCTCGCATTTTCATGTGTCATTTTATACTGTAACGCAAACGTAACTTAACTGGGGACAGGAAAGCTAATTGTTTATGTGTGGGAACAACTGCCATCTAAGTGAGCTATGAAAAGCCTTTTGAGCGTTTATTCTATATCCTTCATATCCAGCTTCGTTTTATGACCTAGTAGGCAGTTTGTCATAACTAGTATTCTGCGCACAAGGCGATAATCTATATATTTTTTGCCCACTACTAGTCACACTTGAAATCAAACATATTTAGTAAATTCTGTTTCGTATCCTTGAAACCACCTTGAGGTCTATGTACTAGTACTACTACTTTGCCCTCACTAGTAAAACAATTCCGTGTACTATTAGTATAACTGTCTTACTAGTCTCCCCCCTGCCACTAGTGCTACTTTTGGCTGACTAATACAACTTCAAGACGGGTATGAAGGATGCCAAATAACTCACTTGTGTTATAGTTTTGTTGTAACGTAACATTTTTCTACTAGTAAGGACAAAGAGGCTACTAGTACATTGATCTTAAGCTGGATATCAAGTATGTGGAATGAATTTTCAAAAGGCTTTTCATGTGATGGCTGCATTAACAGCAAAACAATGCAGGGTGTTTTTTTTCTGTTTGTTTTTTCCTTCACCCTGTTTTAACCTCACACAGCAAAACGACGGACTACATGTTTTCTCAGCTACTTTCCGCTGTTTGTTTGACATTTTGATTTGGTTTCTGTGCGTTTGTTAAAGAGGAAAAAAAAACATTTGCCAGCTGTCAGTGAGGCAAGGACTAGAAGCATAGGCAACCACCTGTTATTTCAAGCAGTGGCAAAAAGAAAAAAAGTATTGTCTGGCATTTTTGTTTTGTTTTTTTGGGGGATGGAAGGACTGGTTGCAAAGGCAACATTCAGGGGTATCAGTAGTGAATGTAAAATTATTAGTTTCTTTTTTTTCTCTTATTTTTCACAGTTGGCAAGCTGTGACTGAAGGTCTAGACAACAGAACACAACCGATTAATAAATTTCAAAAAAATGTGTGTGCTGTTTTTTGTTTTTTTTAACTGCATGCTCATAATTGTGGGCACTGGTTAGCACGACTGCCTCACAGTGCAGAGGTGCAGGTTTCGATTCCAGCTCCCGCCTTTCCATGAAGTTTGCATGTTCTCTGCCTGCCTGCGTGGGTTTTATCTGGGTACTCCGGTTTCCTCCCACATTAACAAAAACATGCTTGGCAGGTGCCCTGCGATTGGCTGACAAACAATTCACGGTGTACTACTGCCCGAAGACAGCGAGGATAGGCTCCAGCACGCTCGCAACTATTGTAAGAATAAACGGATTAGAAATTGAATGGATGGATGCTCCTAATTGGGTGATTGATATTGCAAGTTTAACAAAAATGTATTTCCAGTTTCAATATTTTATCTTTGACAAGTTGCCAGTTCTCAAGTTTTGCTCTGATCAACCAATTACAGGATGCAAAAATGCTGATGTCATTAACGGCCAGTGCGCAGGCCCCTGATCATATTAGATTAACATGGCAACAAGAAGATGCTGAAATCTGATTGGACAAAAAAAAACTGACATCCACACCGAGAAATGCATCCAAATGAACGCAATAGATTGTCGGGAATGAAATTAAATAGAGTTCAATTGAACACATTGTCCAATTAAAATGTTAATGTGTTGTAAAATGTAACATAAAAGTTAAAAGTTAACTTTTTGGATGCCGCTGTCGCGTGCATCCGGCTGTAGTTTAGTGCGCATGCGTGTTTACTTCCCCAGTAGCAGGTAAACTCAACTAAACCACCATGGCGGCGAGAGGCCATGTGCAAGACCCCAACGACCGGAGACTCAGACCCATATACGGTGAGCTCCGGCTAGCCGGCACGTTTGGACCCGCACGTTGGGTTCGCTTGAACGTCGGTGCAGGCCTTCTTTATACGCCGAAGTCCCACGCGCAGGGGTAGCTTTATCGCGGCCCCTTCATCCGCGACCACGGGCTCCGCTGCCCGCTGCGCCCTATGACAGTGCACCTTCCCCTGCCTTGCCCACGCGACCACAACCCGGGGTGTGCTGCGGTTCTCTCCCGGTAGCACCCCGGTGTGAACATAATGTGAAATATTAAAAAAAAAAAAAACAGTCTAAGAATCTTAACTGGGTTCCCGGGTATCTCCTTCTCCTTCTCGGATACAAACGGGCGCTATTTGACAGCTAGCTGCAGAGGCTAACGTGTCGGATAGCAAGTCTTTCATTGACTCTACGTCTGTTTTCCGGCAGAACTTGCTTGTTTTGTGCCGGTTACCGCCGCCGACTGACAGTCGGTCAAGTTTAGCTTCCACGGGTGCGCTCGCATTTTGGCTTTTGTCCCTCTTGTGTCGGCAGTTGAGCGACTAAGTGGTTAGCTTCTAGTTAGCATTGCCGGGGACAATGCTTCATGCTAAGCCGGCTCGCTAGCGTGGAACTGTCACAGGTCTTGAACTTAAGCCGTGCACCTATCTACAATATTTACTCGTATTTAATGACTTCGATCATAATGTATACCAGTGTTGGGGAATATGGCCACAAAAGTCGCACGATTTTTCCCTCACCACAAAGACCAGATTTCCACATTTTTTCCCACAAATCAAAAAACAATGACATTCAAAACAAGTTTTGCATTATTTGTTATGATACCATACGCCTTTGAGCTTGTTTGCCCCCCCTGCCCTCGCCCCAGCGTTAATTCGCATAAACTTCCAGAGAAATATTAGAAATCCATTAGCTATAGAAAACCTACACTTCCCTGTTGAAATGCCGATTTGGTTTTCTTTCAAAATAAAATGAGGCCAAGATTAAAAATCTCCACAGTTAATGTTACTAATAAGTTGTATAGCGCAGTAAAAATAAATAACCAACATCACATGCTTGCACAAGTTTGTGTGGTTTTTTTTTTGTTTTTTTTTTTGGGCTTGGCGGCATAATTATTTTTCCAAAGGTTGCCTGTTGATTTACCGCATTGGGAGAATTATTAACTTGTATTGTAAATCACCGTCATATAAGTCATAATCAACTCTGAAGCTGTTGTGTTTATTCAATATCGTGTTTGATAACGGCCTGGCTGTTCATTTTTGAAGGCTTCTCTTGATTGACAGCAGACACGAATGCAATGTAAGCAAGGTAAACGCTCGACACTGAAGTGTCTATAAAATTTTGCTTTCTCTGCGGTGCGAGAAGAGCAACGGGACACAATCGCTGTCTCCTGCGGTTAATTTTGGCCGGCAGCTGTCCCTGAGAGACCAAACTGTGTCTGTGCGCACGCACACAGACACGCACACGCACAATGCAGTGTAATTCACGATCATGAAAAACGATTGCTTGAATATAGGCCTATAAGGGTGGCGCAAAAGCTGAACCGCAATATAATGCGTGTTTGCTGTTGTTGACATGTAACACGGTAACATCATGATCGTTAATAAGACCCTGCAAAGTGAATTCAGAGATTTGCTTCTGAGGACATTGCACGTGTGTAACGTTAGAAGTCTGTCGTATTCAATTGTGAGGCATATAGCCAGATTTTTTTTTTTTTTTTTTTTAACACCGTTCCAGTTTTCCTATTTATTTAGGTTGCTTTAGAGTGCCTCATTGTTGCCCTTCAGTGTGCACAGGTAGGGCTGCACGATTATGGCGAAAATGCTAATTATCACTGTTCAGATTAATTTTGTAATTAGTTTTCACTAAATTTCATCATCTTACGTAAAAAGGTTTGTATTTTTCTCGCACTACTTTTTAACAGTGAATTCGTAAACAGTTTTTGGTGCAACATGAGACTTGAAAATAAATGGATTAGTATAATTTTACAATGAATGATGAACAAAAAGCAAATATAGCCAAGAATGGCAAATTTACCAAATAAATAAACGTGTTCCAGGAGTTTCCATTTGTATGGCGGCATTTAGAGTGCCGAGTTGTCCCCAGTGGGATTTGTACCAACTAACGGAGGGTTCAACCCGATGCATTTCCGCCGCCAACGTATTTATGTGACGGCATAAGTAAGACGCCGTGTTTGAGAGCAGGGACAATAAGTTAATTTTTTTTTTTTTTTTATGATTTTCTCTGTGATATGTCATATTTAGACGCCATTTTGTTTTGACCTGATAGGAACCTGAATTGTTCTTTGTTTGCCCCTCAGACTACCTTGACAATGGCAACAACAAAATGGCCATCCAGCAGGCCGACAAGCTGCTGAAGAAGCACAAAGACTTGCACTGCGCCAAGGTATTGTTGTCAGCCGGACGCAGCAAGCAGCCAATCGGAGCCCATCGGCCTTGACAAACAAATCCGTTCATACCATCACCCACCTCCACCCTCCAGGTGCTGAAGGCCATCGGCCTGCAGCGGACTGGCAGGCAAGATGAGGCCTTTTCACTGGCCCAGGAGGTGACCTCCTTGGAGCCGACAGACGACAACTCTTTACAAGCGCTCACCATCCTCTACAGGGAGATGCATCGGCGTGAGTGCAGACCTGAACGCGAACACGTTCAGTGGCGGAAGTGGACGTATTAATTTGGCGTGCACATGTGTCGCTTCCAGCTGAGTTGGTGACCAAATTGTACGAGGCGGCGGTGAAGAAGGTCCCGCTCAGCGAGGAGTACCACTCGCACCTCTTCATGGCGTACGCACGCGTCGGCGAGTACAAGAAGATGCAGCAGGTGAAGACACACACACGCGCGCACGCACACAAAAGCACACGTTTGTGTCTGCTTGATTCAACGAGCAGAGAATGCCAAGCGCTGTCGTCGAGCTAACGCAGAGAAGCACAGACGTCATTGTCGTTACAAAGCTTCAAACAACTGCGTTTGGTGTGAAAGAGTTTTATGCGTCACTTTGATGATTTATGATCTGAGTTATGCTTTCATCTCTTCAGGCAGGAATGGCCTTATATAAAATCGTCCCCAAGAATCCTTATTACTTCTGGTCTGTCATGAGTCTGGTAATGCAGGTACATGGAGTGGTCATCCTCATAACACCTCCGCCATAAACATATATACATACACGTTGAAAAAAAAAAAAGATTTAAAAAATTTTTTTAAATGTTTTTTTTTTTTTTTTTTAAATTTTATGCGGCGTTGTGATTGCTCAGGCCATCTCGGCACAGGATGAAAAACTATCCCAAACCATGTTTCTACCCCTGGCGGAGCGCATGGTGGAGAAGATGGTCAAAGAAGACAAAATTGAAGCAGAAGCAGAGGTAAAAATTGTAATTGTAATGATTTTAAAAGAGCTAATGTCGGGCAATTAATCCGTCGGGCCCGACTTATAATAATGCAGTACCATATAGGGCTCTAAAATGTTTGTCATAAAAATGCCATTTTCCTTAAAGGTGCAGCTCTACTTCATGATCCTGGAGCGCTTGGGAAAATGTGAGGAGGCGTTGGAAGTGATCAAGGGTCCGCTAGGAGGTAAGTACTGATCAAAGTGTAGCGTCTTAATCTTCCACCTCCACCTGCTCACCATGCGATGTCACCCCCCGCGCAGAGAAGCTGACCAGCGAGCTTCAGAGTCGAGAGAGCAAGTGCATGATGTTGTACCGGCGACTGAGACGCTGGCCCGAGTGCAACGCCCTGGCCCACAAGCTCCTGCTCAAAAAGTGAGGCGCATCTTTTGTTTACTTGCCTGAGCGAATTTGCCTCTTGTCACCACTACCTTCACACTATCACGCCATTCATATAATCTGAAGCAGTTCACAATCAATAGTCAGAAATATAAAAACATTCAAATCCAGATACTCATCAGTCATATTGATTATTAAATGTTTTCATGCGTGCAGATTGCTACTAAATCCTCTGCACCACAGGTGTCAAAGTCCGGTCCTCGAGGGCCGGTGTCCAGCATGTTTTACATCCCTCTCTGCTGAAACACACCTGATTCAAATGATCAGGAAATGATCAGGATCACTATCAGGCTCCGATAGAGCTTGCTGATCATTTGAATCAGGTGTGTTTCAGCAGGGAGGGATGGAAAACATGCTGGACACCGGCCCTCGAGGACCGGACTTCGACACCTGTGCTCTGCACCAACCAATCAGGAAATGGAGAACAAAATCATTATTTCCTCAAGCTGCCACAAGGTGGCAGCAAAGTACTGCTTTTGTCGATAAGAAACATATATTAGTGAATTCCCAAATGGGGGAATCTACGCATATGCATGGCTGTAGTTTACTGCATAGTTTGCATTCTTGGGCCAGCAGGACTGTTGTTAGAGACCCTGGCCAATTTAGATTGACATGTACATGTCCACATATATTTACTGGATGCAGTGAGAAACGCAACTGAATGAAAATTTACGACTGCGCTTTAACTCATGTTGCTCTGCTCGCAGTCCTGATGATTGGCAGTTCTACCTGGCCTACTTCGACTCGCTTTTTCACCTCATGGATATGTCGTGGAGTCCACCGGGGGATGGAGAACAGTGAGTCCAATTGTTGGTTTCGTGTCAAAATTGGAGTCAACATCAAAATTAGTCAAATGGGGCAAGTCCAGATGGCACTGTATGTAATGGCGGCGATGTGTGCAGCTGCTCGGAAGGCGCGGTTCACCACACCGTGGCGGAGGTTGTGAGGTTCGTGGAGGAGAGGATTGCGGGCGAGGACGGCAAAGACGCTCGCTCGCTGCGGGGTCCTTACTTGGCGCGTCTGGAGCTCATGCACCGGCTACGACAGCGCGCCCTTCCCCAGGAAGGCCAACTCGGTAAAAAAAAAAAAAAATTGCTCCGGGGGTACCTTGAATTCAGTTCCACCATCTTGATTTCAAATGCAATGCAATTCAATATAACATTCTGTGTCGTGGAGTCTATTGAAATTAACCCATTGAATTGAATTATGACATTCTGAATTTTGCAGTCCTGATGCCCACAAAGTGTAGTTTTTTTTTCTTCCAAACTAATGGTGAGAACTGATGAAAAAAACTGAAAAAAAAAATAAATCTTGACGGACTAAAAATGGCCACACACAAGCAGAGAGGGTAGTAAAATGCAGCAAAGCTTGATGGTTGCAATTACGTCGCCTCCTCCCGATGTTTTCTATATTTATTTTGCCATGCGCACAGGAGAGCCTTTGGAGCTGATGGTGCAGTTTTTCGTCAAGTTTGGCGACAAGCCTTGCTGCATCACAGACCTCAACATTTACCTCCACCTACTCGCCGCAGACCAACACGAGCAGGTGAGCCGCGTCGCGGGCGCCATCTCACGCCCAGACGGCCCAACGTCAATCGCATCCCTCCATCTTGTCGCGTTCAGTTCGTCAAGCGGCTGAGCGAGGCCGCCCCTCTGGGCCAGCCCGGACCCGACGGCTTGGCCTTCCCGGATGACACCAAAGCGCTGCAGAGGCATTTGTGCGTGTGTCAGCTGAGTCGGGCGCTCGGCCTGCATCACGCCCTCGACGCCGCCGCCAAGCTGAGACTCGTTGCGGAGCTCAAGGCGCACTATCGGCACGGCCTCAAGTTTGGTGAGGAGCACGGAGGCAGCATTTATTTGGCCATTTAGGGTCAGCGGCAGTTTGATCGAGCTGTTTTAATGGGCTATTTTTCCAATGTGTTTTTTTTTCCCCCCCCGTTTTTTTCACTTTTCTCAAAAATACAAATTAATCTTGAAAAAAAAATATGACTGGCTGTTCAAGTAGGCTTCCCCCCCCCTCTTTGCACTGGGACAGCAAACAATATTTTTTTTCCCCAAAAAGTACATTTTATTTCCTGAGAAATGCAAATTTATTCTTGAAAAAAATAGGACTTTAGCAGTTCTAGATCACTTGTCTGAAAATACTTTCATTTCTGTTTGCCCTCCAACAGGGAAGAACGCTCTGAAAACTGAGCTGCAGTTTTCCGACATGTATTGCCTGATGGCGGCTCACGTCTACATTGACCTGTGGACGGAAAGCGGTGAGTGGTCTCCGTCTCTCTCGCTCTGTGTCTCGCTCACGTTGCCTCTCTGGACGTGATGTGCGCGCCGGTTCTTCTCAGGAGACGAGAAGATGGCGTGGCTCAGTCTCGGCCTCCTCCAGGAAGGTTTGTCCAACAGCCCGTCCAACGCACAGTTCAAGCTGCTGCTGCTGCTCCTCTACTGCCGCCTGGGCGCCTTCGAGCCGGTGGTGGACCTCTACGCCAGCCTGGACGCTAAGCACGTCCAGCACGACACCATCGGCTTCCTCCTAACACGCTACGCTCAGTCCTTGGGACAGTTTGCGGCCGCCTCGCAAGCCTGCAACTTTTCTCTCAGGTTTTTCCACTCCAATCAGAAAGATGTGAGTCCACCTCCACGTACGTTCTCCCACTCTGTAATTCTAACCCTTATCAAAAGAAATAATAAAGAAGCAAATGTCAAAATATTTGGCAGCCCCAGGCTTCAAATGTAATCAAATAAAAATGTCCCATTTTTCTTGCCTTCCTGCCCCCAGACCTCCGAGTACATCATCCAGGCGTACAAATACGGCGCCTTTGAGAAGATCCCAGAGTTCATCACCCTCAGGAACAGGCTGAACCAGTCGCTGCATTTCGCCCAGGTCCGCACCGAGAGGATGCTGCTCGACTTGTTCCTAGAGGCCGACATGTGAGCACACACACCCTTGCCCCCCAACCAACCAATGCGCGGCGCCTGCTCACCTCTGCTCACCTTTGTGACGACGTTGTGTTCTTCTTCTTTTTTTTTTCCTTTTTTTTTTTTCCTGTCTTCCCCTAAAATGTTTTTTTCCAGTGTCTTGAGTCTGGAGGAGAGTGTGAAGTCCATGTGTTTGTCCGCAGAGGAAGATGACATTCCCTGGGACAACATGAGGGACAACCGAGACCTCACGGTGTTCACCTGCTGGGACCCGAATGAGCGGTACAAAACACACGGCCCGTTATGCTCGCTCATCTCCAAGCGGGAAATGTCCCCCAAGACCCCACACGGAAACATCATCATAATGCATAACATCCTCCAGAAGTGGTTGAATGGCAAACTTTTATCAATATGTGGTCTGTGTAGGAAAGAAATCATAAATGTAATTGCATAATTGGCAAATTCATCCCAAAGAAATACATTCAAAATAATGAGCATGAATTATTTAATTACGAAAACAGAACTATTTCACTTATTTTACATACTTTTTTTTTTTTTTTAACATTAACTATCTCGCTACTCAAAAAAAAAAATCTAACCTGGCCCTTGAAAAAGTTTGAGCAGCCCCGATCGAGTTATAACCATGTGGTCTCGCCACGGTCACCTGACAGGAAGTTGACCGAGGAGCATCGGCGACGTTCCCTGGAGGAAGAGTGCGTGTGGCTGCGCTTACGTTCGCTCACACTGCGCCTCCTCGCAGCGGTGGCGGCGCTGGGCCACAAGTCCTCGCCGCAGAACTCGCCGGCGGCCACCGAGAACGGCGTGGCCGACAAGACCGCGTTGCTGCGTGGCCTCCTGGCGCAGCTTGGCCACAACCTGCAGACGGCCACGCAAATGGCTGAGAGACGCACGCAGGTGTGGAACACAATCATTTCCTCCACCATCTGAATGTCTGCTAGCTCAATGCTAACATATAATGCGAAACGCCATAGACAGACTCATGTAAATTAGCATAGCTGTTGCAGTACTTCTAAACCTTCAAACAACTGCAAGTTTAACCCACATGGAGCAGCAACACATACAAACGGTGCATGGAACAACGGGTTTCTGGTAATAACACGCTAACGCCATGTTCTCCGAACAGTATCCCTTCCTGGGACCACCCGCCACCCGTCTGGCTGCCGCTCTGTCCAGTGGCAGCTGCCAGTGTCAAGCGGCAGCGCTGCAGCTGTCGCTCCACGTACACCAGCTGGACGCAGTCGGACTCGGTAAGTGCCCACTACCTCAGCGCAGGCTTGTTCTTTTAAGGGCTGGGCGCTAAAGCGATTTGATTGCTTCACTCAAATTTATGTCAGGACATTTGCCCAGTTGAAAGTGGCTTCTCACTGTCACACGCTGCTTACACGAACAACATGGCTGTGAACAGGAGGGAGCTGGTTCCAAAGAGCACATTCAGGAGTGACGGCTTTGACGAATGATTTAAAATATAATATGAAAAATATATTTTAACCTTTTTCTCCCCCCTGTCAGACGAGTCGTCGGAGCTGCAAACGCAGATGTGTAACGCCTTCAAGTCGCTGGCCGTTCAGCTTCAAGGTAGCACCCATGACACACAATTGCTCTGTGACCACATCGACGTCCTCAGTTTCATCTCCTTCTCCTCGTGTGTCTGCTGCAGAAATGCTGACTAAATGCAAAGGAGACCTACTGGACATGAAGGAGGGCAAATTAAAAATCCGACCGTCTTTACTAGAAAACCTCATCTTCTTTGTGGAGGTGGGCCCGCGCTGCCTTGCTCTTCTTCTGGATGTCCGACATCTTGTCCGTCAAGTGTGAGTGGTTGCGATTGTGTGCAGACGGTGTGCGTGGTCTTGTGGGTTGCCGGCTACTGCACCAAAGTCCTCCAGCCGCTCAAGTCCAGCCTACAGAAAAAGAAGAAGAAGAAAAAGGACGCGAGCATAGCTCAGGTGTGCACTTTTTGGTTGTTTATTTATGGACATCACATGCTGGATTTCAAGGCGGACTTTGAGACGTGTCTGTGCTCTAAAGTTACCACGCCAGCCCAAAGACTCGAACGACACATTGGCTGTCCAGTCAGACTGTGACCGCATATTTTTTGAAATCTCCAATTCTTTTTCCCATTCCCATGCAAACTTCATCGGTGACTTGAGTCTGACTTGACTCAAGCCCCCCTGCTTCTGATAAAGGTTCTGTTGTTTTTGTTCTCCCCCCCCCACCACCACACACACACAGCCGATGGTGGTGTGCGGCTTCCAGGAGCTGACGGCGAGCTTGCAGGACGTGCTCGCCCAGGCCCTGGAGCACATTAAGGAACAGGAAGTTGGCATAGCGGCGCTCAAACTGGCCGATTTGTCCCTGGAAGGATCCACGGAGGTCAGTCACTTTCGGTGTTGTTGGTGAAGACGTCAGTGAAAGAAAACCTTTATAAGGGGCGGGCGATTGGTGTTTCTTGCTCCGCCCACTTGACATGACTCGGCTAAACAAAGAGTTTATTCAGTGGAGCTTTGTGAGCACGTAGCAAATCTACAGTTGTAACACCATGCCAGCAATTAGCCACTAGCTAACCCGCTGTGGGGAAAAAAAAAAAAAAAAAACATTAAGCTTCGCGCCATCTGTGGCAGCAGAGGCATTAGATACATCCACACTTCCACCATTTCCTGTCTTACTTCTCGTGCACTTCCTGTTTCCCTTCCCGTGCATATTGTGCCCTTTCAGGAGGAGTCATCGTTTACGAGGGCGGCCATGGACAAGCTGCAGAGCAGTCACCTGCGTTCGCTCCAGGAGGTGGCGGAGTTGCTCAAGAAGCGAGCAGACTCTTTGAAAAACCTCAAAATCTGAGCGTCTTCATGCTCGTCTGTTTGCCGTCAGCACATTTCCGGGACGCTTTCAACTCTCATCATGCGCGTGCGCAACGCATCCACATAAACAGACACGCGCACGCTCGCCTATCATGGAGTCACATGGTGACGTCCAGATGCTCGTTTTTAGTCCAATTAGTAAATTATTGTACATATTAGGTTAGAGTCCAAGAAACCACTATTTCCTTTGCTCGATCACTCGCGTCCCCTCCTCCCCTTAGTGTTGGCGCGCAAAGACGCCAGACTTAGGCTTCCATCGGCGTTTCATGTCGGCTTTCTTTTTTTCCATGCTTTGTTCATCTTGTTTCTGAAGGAAGTCAAGCACCTCTGTAGTCGCAGTATTACAAAAAAATATCACATAAACAGCTCCCTTCTAGAAATGGCGGCGGTGGCGAGGTCACGTGACATCCACAACAACCAGCAAAACATTTACTTTTTTTTTTTTTTTTTTAAAGCTACTTGTGTGTGAGTGCACATTTGTTTGGCGTGGAGACTAATGTGAGCGCCCCAAAGCAAGGCACTGAGGCTTTATGCAGTTCTGTCCTGTGTACGGGGCACTTAAAATAAAACACACTTTGGACCTAATTGTAAATAGCCGAGAAGCTGCTGTGCGTGAGGGAGTTAGCGAAAAGTGTGTCCGTGTGTGTGCGTGAGTGCATGCGTGTTAGAGCTCGTGTCAGAGCGGGCGCATTTGAGATCGTGAGGGAATTTGCACCGCGTTTGAAATCATGCAAATGTTTTGGGGGGTTTTTTTTCAGAGTTTTAAAAATGCCTGTTAGCATGTTTTAGTTTGAAACAGCATCAAATACAACCGCCTAATGCCGCTAATTCAACAAGTGACAATTTTCACTTCTTTGCAACCTTAAAACTGCCTTGAAAAACTTTTTTTTTAACGCTCTCGTCATTGGGAAGTTTGTTTAAAAACCATTTGCATAGTCTACAAAAATCTGAAAAACATTTGCATTATTTGGATTGCCGCGTGTAAGAACGTCCTTGGTTGTGCATGAAAAAGCGTGAGAGAAAGTGAATCTGTGAGAAAAAATGTGGGGGAGACGAAAGCGTGTGTGTGTGTGTGTGTGTGTGTGTGTGTGTGTGTGTGCGCGCGCGCGCGCGTGTGTGCGTGTGTGTGTGTGTGTGTGCGAAAGAGAAGGCTGCTGCAGTTGATGGGGGTGTTGCTGTGCCATTTTTGTTATCGTTCCCTCTGACCTGAAAAACAAACTGTGGCGTCAAGTGTCTACTTTTGGCCGTTCGCGATTAAAAGACGACTATCATATTTGATGTTACCTGACCAAAACAATGAAAGCGATCACACAAATGAGCTCAATGTACTCAAATATTGTGAAAAAGTTTGGCAGGTCACATCAAGTTGCAGTTGGTCTCGTGTCCGCCTCCTGTCCATATCAGCATCATGAAGAAGTTCCGTTTTCTGTTTAGACTGGCCGCGAGACGTGTAAAAAAAAAAAAAGTGTGCTCATGATTGACAATCTGGATTGTGACCATCTCAGCATCCTCTTTTGTTAGAAAATGGGAAAATAGAAACACTGGAATGTCAAAGCTTTTTTAAATAAATGTGAAAAACTAATTTGGTTTGCTCAAGAAAAAAATGATTGCTCGTTAGGGTCGCGTATGATCGGGAGTCTATCCCTATGGAAGCATATTGCTGCCACAATACAGGGGAAAAAACACGAAACTTATGTAAAAACGTGAAAACTATTATGTTAAAAACATAAAACCTACCTGTTTCCCAGCTCGGTGGGTGAGAGCATTTTTTTTTCTCTCCCAAGGCGGCATGACCGATTCGTAAGAGGGTTTGAGAAAATAATATATTAATATGAACATTTTTGGCTTTGGATTTTTGGAGATAGTAAAAATAATTCCCTTGTAAATTTCTAATTCAAAAACGATAATTTTATTTTAGGTTAAACAGCTCAAGTTAAAATTTAAGCGTCAGTTGAACGAATAGATCTTGTATTTACGGGCCATTTGACTGATTCTGCATTTAAGGCGTTGAATTTTTTGACATTGAATCTTTCAATGGTAAAAAAAAAAAATCAAAATTTGATCGTTTAAAAATGTTTTCTTTTTACATTGAATTTGTGGTTTAAAAAAAACGTGAGAAACTTCCTTTAAAAAAAGGGGGCCCCAGCAAAACTGTACTGCCATACACGTTCGAGGAGTTAGGTGGCGATAGCGTCTAAGCGCCTTGTATGAGCAGTCAGCCATTGAGAAGAAGAAGTAGTAGTAGGAGTTAAAGAGCTTCAGAAGCTTCCTGAAGTTATGACAGTCACGGCTATGAAATATGTAGACGTGTATTTACTTTATATATTTGCGCTCGAGAGTCTACGAGTCTTACTTTTATGGGCCTGACGTCAATGTGCGCCGACTGGAGTTTTGAAGGCTAATTAGGCAGCTAACATGCGAAGCTAGCTGTCCCCCACTTGCCTTGTTTTGCTTTGCTTTTATCTGCGTGTGTCTTTCCGAGGGCCAAACACATGAGCGTGTCTCTGGTGGTCATCCGCTTGGAAATAGCCGACCAGTCTCCAGCCCCGCAAGGCTTTTGCTACTCGGCCGGTGAGTACGCATGGTGACGCCGAACGTTGTTGTTGTTAGCCGCCGGCCGGCTAACGAGCTAGCAAGCTGCCGCTGACAACAGTCGCAACACATCACATTTATTTGCCTTTTCGTTCATTATTTACTTTGTTCGCACTCATGATATATATATGTAAAGAGTGGTACAAATACTTGACACTAAATGGAGTGACTGGTAGAATAAAAGTCAAATTAACTATTTTCCATATCCACTTAATGTTTTGGTTTTATTAAAAAAATTGTAATTTATCTAAAAGCCAATCTCTTATTCACTGTATTCTATAAGTCATGAGTAAAATATTGAGACTTGAAAATGAATTGGTTTATTAAAATGAAATATTGTTGATTCTATTTTGTTGTTGTTACCACGCATGTGAAACAGTTCTCACCTATTCTTTTTGAAAACTAATACTGAAGCCCAAAAGTTTGCACACATCTGTATCAGCTGCTAACGTTCACTTTTCCTGCCCACCCTTTTCTATTCTGGTCATTTGACACGTGTTGCTTGTGCACTCAGTGGGCGACATGTCGGAGGAGCAGCTTCAGGATAAATCTTTGGGCCTGGCTCGTCTGGCCCTGAGTGGCAAATCGGAGCTGGAGAGGAGCGCCGTGTTGCATCAGCACATGGGCAGCAGATCCATGGGAGACATGGTCATCGAGACCTTTGAACCCAGCCCAGGTAACAAGGCGCGACACCTTTTTTTTAAATTTTGTTTCTCTGTTTCTGGAGCTTGCTTCATGTTGATACCCTGGCTTGTGGGCAAGGAAAGCTGCTAATTGAACGCAGTCAAAGTACATGATGCAAAACACTGAGAATCACCAGCCAACCTGGCTGACTCCAGTTCCTGATGCCACCCATGAGGAACACAACATACAAATGTACTGTGTTTGTTAGTTTTTGTTCAGTTCCGCTATATTTATCTCCATTGTTTTGTGATGTTTATCTGTTTTCGCTGCAGGTAACAAAAATTCATGTTTAATGGACACGCCTTATAATTGCTGTGAAAAAGAATTTTTAATTTTGTTAAAAATGTCCCCCCCCCCCCCAAAATGTACTTAGGTAGGGATAAACACCCTCAAAAAGAGGTGTTGCACTCACATCATTACACTGGCCAACAGCAAGCTTTGATTCAAACGTTGAAACAGTGAGGCAGGAAGTAGCATGTGGCTTCTGTCAGCTTGTGGAATTTTTGCATGTATAGACCAAGACAGCGGCGGCCAAGACGATCCAGGTGGTCGCGCGGAGTTCAAGCGGGCGGATGCTGCAGCGGCTCCGGACTCCCCCTCCAAGCAGCTGCCCCAGCAAATCTCCTTCTTCAGCGGCAACCCGTCAGTGGAGGTCGTGCACGGGATCATGCACCTCTACAAGACCAAGTTGCGACCGCACACACAACGTCATGTTGGACAATGCTAGCATCACAATCACTGACTATTTCTTCTGTTGCTACTTTGTCCCCTTTGCCTCATTGTCCTTTTTGTCTTCTCTTTTCTTCCTCTTCTCATTCTGTTCATGTGTCACTCCTCAATCTTGCATTTTTTTTCTACCATCACCACCTCCCTTTTTTCCTCTTCCTCTTATCCTCCTTCCACTCTTCCTTCGTCCTTCCCCTGTTCCTCTCCCTCCCGACCCCTGCAGCAAGATGACATCTCTGACGGAGGAGGTCGAGCGCAGCGCGATGGTGTGCATCCTGACGGTTCCCGCCACCATGACCAGCCACGACCTGATGAAGCTGATGGCGCCATTCAATGACGTCATGGAGCACATGAAGATCATCCGAGACTCCACCCCTAACCAGTACATGGTGCTCATCAAGTTCAACACGCAGGTCGCTGCAGTTACCCCGATGCATGGGCTTTGTGTGTGTGGGTGTGTTTTGGCCAAGGTTGTTATAACTAATGAAATAACTGAAGCTAAAATAATTTTTAAAAAGAAATTAAATCAGCGCTTTTTTTTTTAACTATAATTACATTTTACTTTTATAAAACTAACAAATTATAGTGAAAATGTCCTTTGGTTTATTCTTCGACAAGCTTTCCATATGTACATTTTTAAGGTTCATTTTAAATGTATTTATTTTACTATTATGGCTGTAAAAAAGAAGGTCATACAGTTTTTTGGCAATTGTATTTCACTTTTCGTGATTATCCAATACCGAGTGAGCTGTTTTTTGTTTGTTTGTTTTAGCATGCACTCGGCAAATACTCGGATAAAAATAAAAAATAAAAATCTAAAACTAAAAAAAAAGGAAACAAAAACGAAGCAAAACTTAAAAATCCGCTCTAAAAAGAAATTTAAATCAACTGAATTTTAAAAAATTAAAAGTCAGACGAAATGAAAAACCAACTACAATAAAAAATCCCAAACGGTTCTAACCCTGCCTCAGGCGGATGCTGACAGCTTCTACACGACGTGTAATGGCCGCCAGTTCAACTCCATTGAGGAGGCAGTGTGTCAGCTGGTCTACGTGGAGCGCGCCGAGGTCATCAAGTCAGAGGAGGTGAGTGGCGGGTGGCGTGGAAGCGTCACTTCGAATCATGTCCGCTCACACGACGGCTCCGCCATCTTCTTCTTGTGCTTTCTCCAGGGTGCCAGTTTGCCCGTGATGGAGCTGACGGAACTTCCCAAATGCACCGTGTGTCTGGAGCGCATGGACGAGTCGGTCAACGGCATCCTCACCACCCTGTGTAACCACAGCTTCCACAGTCAGTGTCTGCAACGATGGGAGGATGCATCGTAAGAGGCCAAACATTCGCTTTAAATATGGCTCACTGTCACTCATGTTGCTGCGCCGGTTCACAATTCTTTGCGCGCAGGTGTCCGGTGTGTCGCTACTGTCAAACCCCCGAGCCGGTGGAAGAAAACAAATGCTTTGAGTGCGGTGTCCAGGAGGTCAGGCCGACGATTCGTCTTCGCCTCTTGCTCCTTGCAGCGCCTTTTGTTAACCTTTGACCCGTTGGCCTTGCCTCACCCCGCCAGAACCTTTGGATCTGCCTGATCTGCGGCCACATCGGGTGCGGTCGCTACGTCAGCCGTCACGCCTACAGGCACTTTGAAGAGACGCAGCACACTTACGCCATGCAGCTCACCAACCACCGCGTCTGGGACTACGCCGGAGGTACCGACACATGTTCAGTGACACCTTAACTCACGTCCCTTCTACCTCAAATGAATTTTAAATATTAAAAACACTCAGCGGGTGTTGTGGTCAATCACATTCAAATTCGACTTTTTTAAATGTATTGAGCACTTCAAAGACAACCATCGCTGCATGCAAGATGCTGTACATCTAGTAAAAATCTGCAATAAAAAAAAAAAACAGTTAAAATAATCAATCAAAAACACACAAACCGTAAACACAATAAAACACCAAAACAATGCAGAGTGGAAAGCCAAAGAACAAAAAATGTTACGAAAACAAAAATGTAGAAAACCAAAACTAACTGAAAATACATCTTGGTTTTGTAAAATTTAGCTGTAACTATAATGAAAATGTCCATTAACTTTCGGGTTTCTTTTAAATGTATTTATTTGGTATTACAGTTCGGCCTTACATAAACAGGACGATCCAACGGTCCTTTGAGAATTGTAGTTTACTTTATGACACAATACTTACTGACCATAGCGCACCCAGATCTGCTCCCTGCTAGCTGTGGAGCGCACCTTTAATGCTCGCATGTTGGTAACGCGCCTCCCGTCAGACAATTACGTCCACCGGCTTGTGGCGAGCAAGACGGACGGCAAGATGGTTCAGTACGAGTGTGAAGGGGACACCTGCCAGGCCGAGAAAATCGACGCCCTGCAGCTGGAGGTACCGTAAGGCCGCTCCTCTTTCCGCCATTGACGCTGTACACGGAAAAAGATGGGCGCCGCGCGCCACGCTGTCCTTTTCTCGCAGTACTCGTACCTGCTGACCAGCCAACTGGAATCGCAGCGAGTCTACTGGGAGAACAAGATTGTTCATCTGGAGAAGGAGACTGCACAGGAGGTGAT